TGTATTTTGTGGACATGCTACAGGGAATGTTTGAAACATTGAAGTAAAACTGTTTGGAGAAAAATTATTACTCAGCCTCTCTAGTAATATCCATGAATCATTGCATTCTCTTTTTCGAAATGGTATGCAATTCTAGACTATTTTGAAGAAAAGTAGCATGGAATCAGTTTAAGAAAATAATGTTTTACAGAATTGAGGATAAAAATCAAATGCAAATCACAATGGGCTGTGTAAAAGTAGATTGAATTGAGGGTATTGAACAATTACTGTTAAGGACTGCAGGTGGTATGGCAAATATTAATACCAAGAAGTTTCAGATTGAGTTATTCTTAGAAAGAAATAACTTGAATAGCCACTTTTAAAAGAATATATATCTGCTGGGTATTTCCCTGTATTCTCTCTCACCAATTGGAGGAAGGACAATGGTTGAAATGGGTATTTTACAGAGTCATATTTAAAGCCTTCTTGAGAAATAGAAGTTTTATATATAGGAACAGGAGTAGACCCCATTCAGCCCCTAGAATCTGTTCCGCCATTCTATAAGATCATGGTTGATCAGTATCTCAACTCCTTTGCCTCATATCTCTTGATACCCTTATCTAACAGAAATCTATCCACCTCAGTCTTGAAAATTTTAATGGATCCAGCATTCAAGGCCTTTTGGTGGAGGGAGTTCCAGATTTCCATTAGCCTTTGTGTGAAAAAATACTCCTGATTTTACTTCTAAGTGACCTAGTTCTAATGTTTAAAATTTTAAATAAAAAATTATTTCAAGGCATTCCCATGTCTCATGTGCTCTCTATTTTTGCATCTAGTGGCAATACAGTTTGTACATTTTTAATTGTATGAGTAGCCAACCAATACTTAAATACAAATATTAAAATATTCTAATTTTAATAGAACATTTTCAACCTCTTCTGGAGGTATAGAATAAGGATTGGGGACCTTGACTTATTTTTTTCTCACTCTCGTCCCTGGTTTTAAAATGCTGAGACTAACTTTATTCCCAGCTGAGATTAGCTAACTCAGCAAGAGCGGATGCTGTTTTGTTTTCTTAAGAGGATTTACAATTGACCGTAAGTGACCCTGCATATAAGGGCACTTTGAGTGCATTCCTCAACTATTTCATTGAGCAAGTGAGTGATAGCTGGTGGAATTTTTAATTTCTGAGGTATGTATTCTTTATTTTAAAGAAGGGAGCATCAGATGGAATTCTGAATGGTTTTCAAATACCCATGTGGAGTTCTGGCTGTTTTTCCAACTTTTTAAAGAACGTTCAGAGCTAAGCACCTAATGTCATGGGGTAGTCACTGAATGAACATAATCCTTTGTGGATTTCATCCCTAACCTCACATATTTGTTCCTCAAACCCAATTTGCTGTTGCTTTCTAAAGGAGATTAGAAGACACAAAACAAAATAGGTGGAATAAACTTATAATTGATAAATTCGCACAAGTTTGCATGATGCAGAAGTCACAATGTTACTGCTTGTGTGGCTTCTGCCCCACATCACTAGGTACCTTATGGTAATGCGGAACAAACTGCATGTATTTGAAGCTGCTTGTCATTTTTAAAAAAATGCAGAGGAACAATCTTACTCGATTATCGAGGGATTGCTTATTATTCTACAGTAAAACTCGCATAAGTCTGATCTGTATAAATCGTAATTGTGTAAGTTGTATATCTGCCCAAATCCGTTCAAGAGTTTATATTCTATGCAAGTTTAACATAACTCATATTTTGCACAAGTTATATTAAATGTATGGTCCCAATTGATATGACGTATGTGAGGTTGACTGCAATGCCTTGCAATGTGTTCACAGCATCAGACAGAGAATCCTAATCGCTATATATTTATGCATTAAAATATTCTATTACATTGTCAAAACATGTGAAAAGGATTGTTTGTATCAACAGCAAAGAGGTAACACAGGATTTTAAACTGAAGAGTTCTAAATTAGCCAGTACGGAACAGCTAATATGTCATTATGTTTTGCAATATTCTCAACCTGCAGGAGACCTAGGTATTGGAAATGTTAGATTAGTAGCATTTGTGAATAGTTGAAACCCCTTTCCAAGACCCGCCTGCGGTGATAATGACATTGTACAGGTAAGCAGATGTAGAATGCTGTTGATGAACTTTGTAGAAGATTTGCCTGAATCAAGTTAAATGATGGTTGTTTATGGATAGGCACTTGACCTGTATTATTTTGTCCTAAATTTAGAATCTAGGAACCTAAATCTAAGAACTTAAATTTATCATTTTCACAAACATTCATATCTAGGGAAAGAAAAAAAAGTGTGTTTTAATTGTGGTAACTTGTTACAATTGCCATTATGTTTTACAAACAGAAGCCAGAAATGGCTACTCTGCATGGTAATTAATAGCTTACTTATGACAGGACTGTGTTTTACCAACAAATTGTCAGTGTGCTTTTTTTTGCCCTATCTTTTCAAAAGCACACATTTGGAAAGATGTGTTAAGAACATTCAGCTTTAGTTATGCTGAATGAACAGCTGTGCTGGCAGACTGCTTCAGAAAGTTTGTTAAATTACTGCATTTTCTAGCTCAGCTATGCACATCTGTACAATGATCTAAATACTTACATTTTGGCGAGTGTATCTGTGGGCCTGTGCTTTGCCATTTTTTTAATGAAAGTTTTTGCTCCTTTTTTCCTTCAGGACACGCCTATATATATATATTATTCTTTTAATTCATTAACAATATTTTTTGGTGTATATCTCACTTGGATGCAATAATTTTTAAAATAATGCACCCTGTCAAATCTAATGTTACCAATGGAATTTGTACCCACACAATTCTGTTCTTCCTACATTCTTGAGGCTTATTTATGCTAGTAGTGTATATGCAGCTGCTCAGTTTCCAATTTACTCCAGATGTGAACCATATTTGCTGAAAACTCATTTACTCTAAGGTAACAGTTATGGATGTTTATCAAATAATCCGTAAATTAATTTATACAGATGAAAAAATATCACTTGAGGCTGGAGATGTATTTAGTTATGACTTGTATTTTGACTTGTTATCACAATAACTATCTTGATGATTTTGAAGTATTTTGCTGCAATTCTGATTGGCTGTTACCAATAATGGTCTGTTTGCAAGATACATAATTAATAATAATAAATAAATAATAATTTGATCACTCAATTCATGACTGTTTGTGGAACACTGTTGCCTGCTGTGTGTCGCCCACATAATACACAGTCAATCCACTTTACAGTGTATTCTGTGAAGCGCTTTGAGATGTCTCAATGATGTGATAAGGCATTATATCAAATGCAAGGATTATTATTATTATACAATCTCTTATGTCAGGCCCCCAAAAAAATTTTTGTAGCTGATTTGCATCATTGAATACTTAATGCTATTTATGTTGAAATTTGTAAAGGTTGATTGCTGTAGTGGTGGAACAGACAATTCAGTGTAAATGTGACTGACGTACATCCACTAAAATCAACTTCATATTAAAATATTAACCAAAAGTTTTGGCAGCTGTATTTCACTAAGAGTTGAGAAGGACCTCTGTACAGTTCTGCCAAACTGTTTGGGGTTTGGTTTAACAGCTTAGACAAACTTTGTTTGAGAAAGGGGATCAACATTTAATTTGGTGTTCTCTGGAATGTTTAGTTTTCAAGGTGATCTTAGTATTTGTTCCCAAGAAAATAACAAGTACACAATGTTATTTAAAACACAGTAAATTTAGATTGTTGCTTAGTTCTTTGGCAAGGGCTCTAAATGCTGTTTGAGTTGAGTTTGTTTCGATTTAACGGGATACAAAGTTCAATGTGACATAGGACATGGAGTAAGATCTTTTTGAGATTTCATATTGAGATCACTCACTTTTTAATGTGTTTTAGGTTTAGAAATTATTGATTCTGAATTGATATATTCACTGAATGGTAATTGTGCATTGAAGTAGAAGTAACTATTTTCTAACATTTAGTATTTTGGTCGAACTTCACTTTATTATTGTCCACTGAAATATCGATGTGTATGATGCAACTTTGAACACAAAGTTACACATTAGCTATCTGTCAAACATGTATCATTTTTGTTTTCGTAAAAATGTGCTCGTTTCTCTTGAACTCTGTGATCGTGATGGTTACTAATTTCAGAAAAAAACTTTGAACTTAACAATGTTATTTAATTTTAGGCCTAAAAATCTATTAATATTACTGGATTCCCAATAATTGTTTAACACACATTTAAATATAGTAGCAGCAGTATCTACTGCAAATGATAAGGCCTTACCTGCATGTTCAAAGGAACCTGGAAAAGGATCAAGAGGGAGCTCTACAAATGTAGTACCTTTAAAAAATAGTCAGCTGCAGGGATGTGGGGAAAGGGCAACTAAATGGGACTGACAGGATTGCCCTTGAGGGAGCTGGCACCACAGACCTAATGAGCGAAATGGCTGCCTTCTTTGGTTCTGTGAGAACTTGTCTGATTTCCATTTATTAGCTTAAGTGAAGCACCACGATGGTTGAGATGAACTTGTGCATAAAGACCTGGAATCTTTGTGTTGTTCAGCTCTACCTAGGTGATTGAGAAAGCTGCTGCATAAACTGGACAGGCCAAAGAGCCGCCTGTGCATAATTTCTATATTCCACATTTAAGTGTTGGTTAGTGATCTAATTTTATTCCTTGTGAATTATCTTAAAAAATCTATAATGAGTTCTGATAGTTTTTATATGGGAGGTGTGAGTCTGTGAATTACATGATTGAGCTCATCATCCAGGTGGCACAGGTGGAATCAGGAAATATTCTGAACTCAGTGATTCCACTTTTGATCGCTACAGTGCTTAATATTGAGAAACAATGTAGTGTAGATATTGTGGTTGATTGTATGCAGCTGCAATCTCCTTAGAATCCAATAGTCTGCAAAAGCTCGCTAACTTCTGTCATATTTATCTCTGAATTGAGTTTATTAAGTATAATGATCATTTATGTATTAAGCATTGTGTTTCTTTTATAGGGAGAAAGAAGGAACTGCTGTCAATGAATGAATATTCCAGTGATAATGGCAGAGCAGCCTCCACCTGAAACTTCAGCCCTGATGAATGAAGTTCCACTTCTACCTCATATAGTGAATGGGGACAGTTCACAGCAGGTGAGAGCTAAATTAAAAGATTTGATTAAATGATCATTCAAATTTCAAGAAAGATTGGAGGTGATATTTGCCAATAGTAGTATGATATAGTGTGGAGGCCCACTTGTCTCCATTATGGATGATTTGGATTTGTGTTGTGCTACTGTTTTGGGAGAAACTTAATTAATAGTTTGATTTGTGATATCTTAGCTACATGTTGGATTCTAAATCTGTCCAGTGCAGTACCAAATTAGACTGTGTATAATACTGTGGACAGCAGCTACATCTGTTGTATAATTTATATTCATGACTCCTGTATGTTGAGTCTGCAGGCTTTTGAATGTTGACCTAGTTGTCATGGCGACATTAGTAGGAAGCAATTTCAAATGGAATGATTTGATAGAAAGTGTTGTGTGTATCATTGCTTGCTTCTTCCAGCATCCCTGAAAATTACTTAGCTAATTATATACAAAAATTATATTTTTTTAAATCATTAAAGAAATGCGTACATGGAACAGCATCATTGAAGAAAGCTTAGCATTGGGACACGAAGAAACTAGTTTTGTTGAATATAAAAAGCAATTTTTCTTAATTGCATAAAAGAGTTCAGGAAAAATAGGAGATTTCATTTCTGTTTCTCATTTTTTCAGGTTATATTGGTGCAGGTCAATCCTGGGGAGACATTTACAATCAGAACAGAAGATGGTCACATCCAGTGTATTCAGGGTAAGTACAAGTAAATTACAATTTCCTTATTATTCATGATAGTTTATATGAAGAATTAATGTTTATATTTACAATACTGGAGAATTTAGTATATACTCTATATTGTACACATTTTTTTAAAAAAGTTAAAATTAAATTGTTTGAAGTGAAAAGTGGACAATATCAACATTGTAAACTGAGTTTTATGTTGGGTCATAATTAGCGGAAATACTGACTAGCTTCAAAGAGAAATGTACGCAATAATTCAATCCGTTTTTTTATTGCTTGGCAGTGTGATATAGATCCCTGTAGCGTGCATGTTCCTCAAGAAACAAATCCTTGAATGCTTTCCACAATGGTTCCAATATCCTTAATAATTTCTCTGAAACCTATTTTGTATCTAACAATATATTGGTAATTGAACATTTAAGTTAATTTTGCATGTTTCACCCACAAAACACACAATCACTACACTTTACAGTATATTCTGTGAAGCGTTTTGAGATGTCTCAATGACGTGATAAGGCACTGTATCAAATTCAAGAATTATTATATTATGTTTTTTGAATTATGAATAATGTAATCCATGTTTTCATGTCTTTTTTTTCTCCTTTGTATATAGCCTGAAACATTTTGAAGCTGTTAATATCTTGTATATTTTAACCCCAACCCGCTCTCCTCTTGCACCAGATTCAGTATGGCCACTCTAGCTTACTGGAATGATTTGTAGACCAATGTTGATCAGTGAGATTGTATTAAAGTCTGAAGTGCCAGTATTATAGAATCTCTGGTTCAGAATACAATAACGTTTACCACAAAGATGTGAAGGGTGACTAACCTTGCCAACGAATTAAAAACGTTTTACTTATTGTGCAGTAACTTGAATGCCATGTGTAAGGGTTAAAACGTTTTTAAAAAGTTGCAGTGTATAAAACTGAGTCTGGGTCTTTTGCTTTTTTTTTGCTCTGTCTGTCCAGCATCTTGAAAACCTTTTCCCGACATGAAAGGTACTATATAAATGTAATTTTGTTGTTGTTATTTAATGTGTGTGCAGGTCCTGCTCATGTCCCCATGATGTCACCAAATGGCTCCATGCCTCCTATTTATGTGCCTCCTGGTTATATCTCACAGGTACTGTAATTGTTCTCATTTCAATTTTATATATCTAAGAAATTGCCATGTTAATTCAGGTCTGTTGTTTAGGCAAAAAAGAGATATAATGATTATGGTAGACTAGTTAATGAATAAAACCATAAATGTTTTTTTTCGTGGGGTGGGGAGGTTGTGGAAAAGTACCCAAGGCTTATATTAGTCTTTTGTAATAATAGATTTTAATTTGCTCTGGGATATAGTATTTTGTTCATCCGTACTTTTAAAATGTAAAACAGATATAGGTATTGAAAAGTCAAGATAACTGAAGCAGTATTTTCTTTTGGATAACGCAGTAAGTATCTTTCAAAAATGGAAATAATCTTTCTTACTATCAGCCATCATTATGATGAAAGTCACTAACTATATTCAAACTAGTGATAGATGGTAGATTGGTTCTGTTTCAACCTCCTTGATACATCTCGTTAAAGACTTGGAAGCACTCTGTGTTGTATAAAGGAGTGACCAAACAAACTTAATTTTGCTGAAACTTATTATTAACACTTACCTGAAAAATATACTGAATATATGGAACACTTATTAAAGTGGAAGGTATTAAAATTGAAAGCATTTTATGTAACTTGTTTTCAATAGCAATACTTACTCTTAAATCACCGATGAAAGGAATACTTTGAAAAGGGTCACAAAAAGCGTATTTATTCTTCCTCATTCTTTCATCCTCCAGTTACTTGGGGGATGGGACTCCTCCCACTTGACTCCTGTTAAATCCTGGTATGTCCTCCCGACATGAAAGGTGCTATACAAATTTAATATTGTTGTTGTTGTAAAGCAAAGCATTTATGGGTAGGGAAGTCTTAGCTGAACAAACAGCAGTGAATGTTTGCTAGTGTTCACAATGGTAAGCTGCATAATTTTAACTCATTGAGTACCATCAGTACACCCAACCCATTTTAGCCTATGCCCAGGCTATCCCAAATTAGGTAAACAAGATGTGTACCCTCAGAGACAGAATGCATGTTTCGTACCAGACTAATGAAAACCACATATATGTGGAACTCTCAGTAGTTTAGATTGGAGACTACTATTCATTGAACTCTGATGTTTTCTGTGGGATTGTTTTTGGTCTGGTTTGAAATTGCATACTATTAAACTCCTGGACAATCTGAAGCATTGTCTATTGATAATTTTGAGATGAAGGATTTCTGGATCTTAAGGTGCAGTTATTGTAGATGGAACTTTATGGGAAAAAGTTTCAAAAGCATAGTTTATTTACACATGAAATGCAACTGGAAAAACAGCAACAGAATGTGCAAACAGACTTAATATCTATCGAACCTTCGGCCTTGAGGCTACAGGTGCTGCCTGACTAGGTTCTCTCATGCAAGTTTTGTGGCTGTTTACATAACAAAGGAAAGTTGCCAAGTTAACTTAGGGCTTTGCTGCATTGAAGTTGGGTAAGCTTGGACTTGTGCTCAACACTCAGCATTTTTGTTTGAACTATAGTACTTCAAAAAGGAATGCAAGAACTGCAGCCTGGCTCAGTTGGTAGGAATTCCCACCTCTGAGTCGGAGGGTTGTGGGTTCACACCCCATATTGGGATTTGAGGCTCTAGGCTGACATTCCAATGCAATGTTAGGGTGTGCTGCATTGCTGGAGGTGCCATCCTTCAGATGAGATGTTAAACGGCCACTGTTCAGGTGGGGTCGTTAAAAATCCCATGGTACTCTTCAAAAAGAGAAGGGAGTTTGCCTACAAATTACAGTCATCGTGGTTTATAACCTGCAAAGTCCTTTGAGACATCCTGATGTGAAAGGTGCCATTTAATGGAAGGATCATTATTATAAAAATTACAGTTTGAGAAAAAGTGGGCAATAACTTTTATTCATTTTAAAAAAGAGAAAATAATTTCTGTTTTACAGGTAATAGAAGAAAATGGTGTTCGAAGGGTTGTTGTGTTACCACACTCAAGAGAATTCCACCCGGGCAGCCATCCCTCTATGCACCCTCCGCCTCCTCATGTTTCACACTACATGCACCATCATCCTGGTTTAATAGCCCATCCTCATCCAGTTTACTCTCCAGTGACCGGAACAGGGGACATGTCTCCACAGTTCATGCCTCAGCACACTCCTCTGCCTCACGTTTTTGCAGATCAAGGTAAGCAGATGCACCACAAGCGGCAGTGTTGAATTCTGTATGCATCAACATTCCTGTTAAACAAAGCTTCATTTCTAGCATGGTGTAATCAGTTTTGTCTGTTCTCCCTTTTTGTTTGGGGTTCGTATGTACATTTCTTCAGCAACAAACCATGGTTCAAGGAAGGTCAAAATAAACAATTTTATTCAACTGTCAATATACCCTAGGAAAGAATGCTGTATTATGGTAGATAAGAATTGAAAATACTAGAAGTAAAAACATTTTTACATTATAGTGTGAGAATTTTTTGTTCTCATTTCTGTATAATAGAATAATTAGTTTCAAATGGCTAATTTTTTTAATCGGTGCTTTAAAATTGTAATGAACCCTTTTCATAGCATTGAGACCAGCCCTGAATCTGATGTCTTGATTTTTGTGCTTTCCACTTCATCTTCCCGATTCCTTACAGTCCTACTGCAAGTTCAATTCAGCTCATTCAGCTTTCTGTCATTTTTTTCTTTCACTTAGCGGTTACTTCATCTTTTGATTTTCTTTCTGAGTGCCACCACAAGCCTGCTGCTGCTTCTTAATTTCTCCAATAACCCTGCTGAATAAATTAGGATTGAAATTTGTAAAGCAGAGTGAGGAACAGCAGTCACAGCTAGAATAAAACAAATATGGTGGTGAATTAGAAGAAATCTGCATCAAATTATTTTTTCCTCTTAATTTAAACTGCTTGCTGAAACTGGTGGTGATTGTACAGTACTAGAAATGACCGTTTTCACATTCTTGGGGATTTTCTCAGTTCAGGAATCTGTCACCCATTTTGAGCTGTCAAATTAAGGGATCTATCTTAAGCTTTGCCACTAGATTGAATGCCCAATCCTTGGAGAAATTAGCATATCATTCTCTTCACTGCAACTGTACCTCTTGCCTAGGCTCTCTTGCTATCACAAATGAAGAGTGTTGTGAAGATCAGCAGCTGCTATGCAAAAAATAGGGATGTAAACCAAGCAAAAACATTTTTTTTAATGTACTGGTTACTACAGACACAGGGCAAACTGTGTAGTTTACAAAATTATAGTCAAAACATGAATTTTTCACAGTGTTTACTATTTTCTGTAACCTTTCACCCTTCAGATGCGCGTTCACCACATGGAAGATTGAATGTGAACCACAGAGATGAAAGGACTATTAAAGTACATGAACGTTTGCAAAAAAGACTTAAAGACAGACAAGTTGGTGGACCAAAAGATAAACCTAATAGCCCTCCCTCTTCTCCACACAAAAGTCATTCGAATTCCCCAACAAACGTTCAAAATGGATATGGAAAGGGACAGAATACAAGTGGTGTCACGGGGATTGCTTCAGGGCCAGTGAAACCGAGGCAATCTGTAAAAGCAAGAAGCAGCCTACAGGATGATGCAGAGACTGGGGGTAAGTACTTGTAACTGTTTTATTTGAGTGTGTGAATGGAAACTGGCTTTGACTTATTTGGGCCAGCTCTGTGAGGGAGCTGTATTAACATATGACAATTGTCATAGCAAAATTGCTTTCACACTGCAAAATCTATTTGCTTAAAGTTACTTCTTGAAGCCAGCTTCTGGCTGGTCAAGAGACATTATTAAAGATTGACTTGGTTGCACCATTAACAAGAATGTCAAACTTTGATGGCTTCTTTGGACAAGGTCACAGCAGCTGACAAAATAACTAATTGTCTGCCCAGTGAAGTTCTCTCTCTGAGGGTGGCAGAGCAAATGTAGAATCGCACTACAGTTGTAAAATCTCTGTCGTCATGCAATCAACAACATTTCTGTTATACATTATCGAATCTCTTGTATTTGGCAATCGGAAATATTCTCACCATTTTGTAATTTTTTAAACAAAATCTCAATTAGAATTTTGAGAATCACCAAATGTATTAAAGAAGTAAAGCACAGAACAGTGAAGACATTTAAATAGTCTTTGTTCTACAAACAACAACAAGATTACATTTGTATAGCACCTTTCAGTCAGGAGGACATCCCAAGGCGCTGAAAACAAACCCCTAACTACTCTCAAAAATCAGCATGAGGAAATTGCAGATAAATCTAGAGGTTGTAATTTCACTGATCCTTCAAGGGGATTTTTCATTACAAGTCCCTAACTTTATGCAATAGTAGAATTCTCTGTCTCCGTTCTCTTTCTCTTTCCTTCCCTCCCTCCGCCAAAGTGTGTTCAAGCGCAGGATTTTTCATGTCAGTAACAAAACTTCTTTATAGCTCGACTTAGCAAGTATCTCCTATTTACACTAGACATGGATGTTTTATACTCATGTTTTATACTCTCCTTTTATATTCAGAAGTTAAACTTCAGCCTTGCTCTTGTAAGTAGACTTCCTGAAATCGTTACTTGGAGACGGAACAGCTTTAACTAATGCATAAACAATAGCGTGAATCTGCAATGACCTAACCCCTGAAAGGGGCAGCTGAAATCTCCATAGATTGCAATCCCCGCAATATTTCTCCTGTAGCTTTAAAGGCCTTGAATCTTTCTATGCGCTGTTTATATTGCTTTACAACACATCATTTTAAAATCTTTCAATACCACACACAAATGCTAGGTATGTTTTACTCTTGTTCTTCGGGGCCAAGGGTAAATTTTTTGTTCAGCAAGGAAGAAGAAATATAGAAGTGAATTGAGAAGACTTTTAATTTGAGGACTGTTTATCTGAATGTACATTCTTCTTAACAATTTAGGCTGCAATTTGAAATGATTTCCAAAATCACATTGATGACAGACTTTCAACTGTTGAGAAATTTTGGAAATGTTACATTTTTTTNAAAGTAGGTGTAAGGAATGCAGCAATATGTCTCTACAGATGCTGTATTGTATATGGTACTCAAATATATCAGATCCTATATTGCAGTAACTCTATTTGAAGATATTCTCTTTATGTGAGGATCTATACTTGTTGGACTTTGGCCACAGAAATCAATAATTGGTTCAGTCTTGACAAAATCTTCCTTCCTCGCATTTACCTTCACAACTGCAGAATGTAGAACCTAATGCTTACAAACAAAAGAATCAAACTTGGCCTAACTCAGATGGAATTGTATGAGCTTGCCTCAAACGCTGCCAGGTTTACATAGGCCAATAAGATGTGAGATAGTGTTGTTGGAATGGTTTGTTTCATGCTGACTACACATTCAGCAGTGAGTTGAAAGAGATCCTCAGCAAACTTAAATGCAATAGTCAAGCTGCAGGACCAACAATAAATGATAATAATCCTCGCAGTTGGTACATCGCCTTATCGAATCGTTGAGGCGTCTCAGTGCTTCGCAGGATACACAGGATACGGAAAGTGGATTGACTGTACTTTTTTGGGCGAAACGCGGCAGCCAGGTTTGCCCGGCAATTTCCCACAAACACTGCATTGGAGTGACAGCTTAGACTGTGTGATTCCAAACCATGATGAGTTCTTGTTGATCTAATCCCTCAACTGGTTAGACACTACACTTGAGTAAGATAGTTCAGATGGAGAAAGGTTCTTTCATTTATTGGGTTAGTTGATTCATAAGGTCAGTTTAGAACTTGGAGTACAATGAACATAAACACTGTTTTACTGATTTCTGATTTCTACAGCAATGTTTGACAACAAAATGTTGATCAGCTTTATCATTCTTCTGTCCTCTCTCCCACTGTGCACCTTTCAAAAACCCATTTTCACAGACAAATTTCTTTCCTCAGAACCTTGAGCTTCAAATAATAATCCAACAAACAGTCGTGGATTGAGTGATCAATTTATTTTTTTAAAATAAATTTTACCCCCCAGAAAAGCAATTTGCTAATCGACTAATAGCTTTGTTCCTACTTACTGCTAGGTAAACAGAGGCATGTGGAGTAAGGAAACTTGTCCAAAGTTTTGCCCTGCTGGGAGTTGAACCCGGTCTCTCGCTTGTGATGCAAGTGGAGTCCTGAGCTACAGGACTCCACAAATGATTCAGAAATATGTTTCTCTTGCTTTATTATTTAGCCCCAAATTCAAAATTAGGTGATTGGCTGCTATTTTTTTCCATCATAACCTTCAAATCATTTCTAATTAATGTTTATTTTACATGAAAGCAAATTATTGTCACTCATTGAATTGACCTAGTTTTTTTTGGTTCAATTTTCAGACTCCTATTTTGAATCAAAGCAGTTACAAGAACTTCTCTCTGGCATTGCTAAGCCTATAGTAAGTATTTTTTTACAGTAGTATGTTGGGCTGCCTTCATAGAAATGTATTTGTAGAACCATACTGTAAAACTTGGATATCCATTTACAATAGAAATTTCAATAATTACACACTGACCCAAAAGAAAGTGAAACTTAACTAAAAATCACAGCAATTTTGAGACTGTATACTTTGTCTGAATTAATCTTGGAAACTTGCATAATAGTTTGCTTAACTTTGCACATTGTGCGTATTGCTCTAATAAATTATGCTTATAATTATAGATATCTGACATAAAACCCAAGTCAGCTGTCTTGTCTTGGAGTCTACCATCCATTTCAGTGAGTGGTGAAGATGATGCTTATCATATACCAGTAGGCTGTAATTATGAAGTTTCATTGTCAAACAGTGGAAAAAATGGGAAATTCAAGACTGTTTATATGTAAGTATTTGATTTCTGTGTTGCTTAAATATTCCAGCTAGGAATAATGGCATAGGACTTTGGGTCTATTGTCTTTTTTAAACGGGGCATTCGTGTTGCCGCAAGAGGTGAATTTCTTGGACAGCCGCAAGACGAATGAGAGCAAAAGCATGTGCTAAGAATGTTTTAATCAAGAACAAAAGTCGGAGGCTTGAAGACAGTCTGATAGCATCATAGCTCCAACCATAAACGATGCTGACTAACGATCCGGTGCATTATTCCCATGACCCACCGAGCAACTTCCAGGAAATCGTGACCTCCGGAAGTGCCAGGGAGTCATATAATAAATCACGGTCAAAACGAATAGTCGATAGAAGTCGATGAAAGTTATCCTACACACATGACATGGTGGGCTGATTGGCATTTTTCTGTGCTGTAAATTTCTAACTTAGTCATATGTACCCTGATTTACAGCTTTCAGTCCGGGTCCCTTCTCTATTAGGACCTTTGCTGCTATTTATCATGAGCAGGACAGAAACTCTTGGATAAGGCATGGATTGTAAAGATAGGTGAACATTTAAAAACAATATTATTGTGATTCAAACATAATTATTCTGTACTTTTTTTTAAAAAAGGGTGTTTTTGGCAGGAGTTGAAGGTTGCTGAAACAGACTAGTCAGTCAGAACATGAGTTTAAAGAAAATACCTTATCAGTATAGTATATATGTGGAACAGACTGAACAAAAATAGTTAATGCTGCATCCAGTTAACTACAATTAACAATAAATACCTTCTTGAGATCAGTATTAGAAGCGTTAGTAATAGGTGTGGTCTGAAACATACAAATATTTCACAGAACAAGATTCTTATATTTGATGCTAGGGAGGAATGTGTTTCAGAGAGTTGAATTTCTGTGTATGGTGAAATAAATAGTTTTGAAGTACTAATTGTGAAATGGTTCTTAATTTCAGTGGAGAAGAAACAACAGTAACAATACCTGAACTGCGACCAGCAACAGAATATCATGTTAGGTACAGATCTGTTTAATTGTTTATAATTAATAACAATCCTTACATTTGATAGAGCCTTTCACCTCAAGAAGCTGTGTCACAATGCCCCACAGGATATTTGTATATCCAGAAAAACTGCTTTTTGTGGGTGACCACAAGTTGAATTTAACTAAAGGTACAATTTCAGGAAATCTTGTAAATTTTGTTCAATTTAAATCTTCAGGTTAAATATTAATGAATTTGCTATAGTTGAATATTGGGTTTAATTTCATGGGAACTTTTTATATTTTCCATATTGAATGACTGATGTGGACATTTTTCTCTAATCTAGAGTTTCAGGAACGTACAGTTCTGTGAAAGGATCTCCCTCCGAGCTGGCAAGTTTTACAACGGAAATCAGTGAACCAGATCCTCCAGCTCCACCAAAACTTATTAACAGGACCAAAAACACACTGAATTTTCAGTGGAAGGTACTTACTGGCCAAGTTATCAGGGACTCTTCTGATTCAAGGGATGCAATATAGTGGTGTATATAGTATAGTAAATTTATGGTTTAAATTAACAGTTGTGTGGATGATGGATCAGTTCTCCTTACCCTGGATTCCTCCTAATTTTATTTTCTTATCTGTTTTTAATTGTGCGTGCCCTTTTGTGCTATTCTTTAAAGGTGATGACTGAATCGAAAGAAATCCAGAACTGCATTATCATCTTTTGTTTTGTTCTAAACAGGCATCCAATGACAATGGCTCTAAAATCACGAATTACTCTTTGGAATGGGATGAGGTGAGTGCTGGTCTTATGACAGGAGTTAGTTGCTTATTTGTACAAGTTTTTGGGGGTCAGAAATTTACTTTAATGGTCCTTGTTTATAAGAATAATTGCTGAACACTCTTTATAAATACAGGGAATGCAAAATTTATTCAAGGAATGTTACTTTGGGCACCAGAAGCAATACAAGCTGACCAAATTATCCCCATCTGTAGGATACACATTCAGGCTAGCAGCTAAAAACGATATTGGAATGAGGTAAGTAAATCTAATCCTATTGAGCTGTAAGGGTATTTATTTAGAAAAGAGATGTATCTAAATGTATACAGTGTAACACAGTAAGTTTTGCAACAATATGCTACTGATTTAAAGAATGGGTAGAGTAATAGAAATTGTATTGCTTTAAGATATTGCAAAGTCAGGTATTGTCCCATGTGATTCTCCCAACCTGTGCACGATATAAGCACATACAAGCGATACATGCACGTTAGTTTTTACTATTATCAAGAATAACATGCTGCTTTGCTGCTGTGTCACCTTGCTTTGAGGCAAAGGGTGCCAAACCTTTTAGAAAATTTCCCCAATTATTTATTGCCTAAAATATGATCCAAGCAGTGAGTTTGCTTACCTAAGCTTGCCATCAGTGGTATGTGGAAATACTTCCATTCTAAAACTAGAGATTTTAGGGGTAAGTAATCATCAGTGAACAAACTTGAAAAGGCTAGTCCAACTTGAAGTCATTTGAAATGCTGGCCAAACTACCAATGACTGTCCTACTCACAACTGTACTTCGTTTTTTCAGTTCTGTATTTGCCCCCTATTTACCTCTCCTTGAAACAACCAGGACTAACGTGACATTTTAGGCTGTTCTGACAGGTGAAATGTTAAAACTACAATTTTATATTGAATTAATTATTAATATTTTGTTTCTGCTTAATTTGCCAGTGACTTCAGTGAAACTGTACAGTATTACACAGCGGGAAGTGTTCCACCTGCCCCAGCTGCTCCTCAGCTAACTCGGACGGGTATCACGTGGTTATCCTTGGAGTGGAGCAAACCAACTGGGGTTTCATCTGATGAACCCCTTACATACATCCTGGAAATGGAAGATGAGTCTTCTGTAAGTTAGATTTTTAAAAAAAAAAGCAATTTCAAACAATTTGCCACAGGTGCTAAGTGGGGAATTAATAGATTATCTAGTTTACCTCAGTCCAGATATGCGTATTGAGAAAACATACTGTAGTGAAACGGGTATCCCAGGGGAGAAGGTGTACAGGTTCTCGTTTCCAATTTGTTTAGTCAAAATTCTTTTGGGCTTACCTTCCTAATCCAATAGAATAAAAATAACTGTGGCAATAAGCTCTAGAATAATACTGTATTCTAAAAAAAAAGACTTGATTACAAATTTTCTGTGTTCGTTTGTGAATTATTATATAATGAGCAAACAACAGTCTAATTTGTTTTTTTAACTACAGGGATATGGCTTTAAGGTAAAACATAATGGAGATGAGCTCTCTTGCACTTTAAAAAACCTGAGACGGAGTACATCCTATAAATATAGGGTAAGTGCTGTGTACGACTCATTTTATTTCTCTTACTGAAATACGGCTGGTGCGTGCTCTTTGAATTAAGTTACAAGATTCGCGCTATGAGGAATGAGGGTTCCACTGACTGCTGGCCTCTGCTGAAAACTCTGGAAACTAAGAACTGAATAGCTTACTAAAACTCACAATACATAGACCTTGCAGATCAAGTGAGATGCTAATGAGCGGTTCCTATGTTCCTTGAGAAGAAGGTAAGTGTTGAATTGGAATTAGAAGTAGCACCTTGCAATATCTCATTGAAAGCATCAAAATATTGGTCCTGGCACTTTGGGAATAAATTAATTTAGCACAGTTGTGTGTGGTTGCTTGCTTGTTTGGTTTAAGCCTGCATAAGTAAGATCTTACATGTTTAACTTTTTTATAAAAATTTCCAGGTCTTTGCCTGCAATAGCGAAGGCAAAAGTAACCCGAGTGAGGTAGTGGAGTTCAGCACATGTCCTGATAAGCCTGGACCACCCAGTAAACTAAGCATAAAGGGAAAAAGTCATGCCTACAATTTAAAAGCAACATGGGGTAAGCGCCATCTGCTGTTTTAATGCAGCAGGTGAACTTTGTGATCAGTTTTTGTCGCAAATTGTGTAATGTTTAGTACTCAAATTCTATTCATTTGAACTGCTTAATTTTACTGGATTATGGAATAATCCATAATTCTTTGCTGGACATAGAATTAATCTATAATTTTATATTACATTTTGCTGTTTATCAGGGGAGGGGGAAACGTACATGATTGTTGAAAAATGTTCAGTGTGCATAAATCAACAAATTTTGTCCTTTTGTTTGCAGATCCACCCAAAGATAACGGAGGGTCTGAGATTACCAAGTATGTCCTGGAAATGTCAGAAGGCTTGAACGGCAAGTATATTGAATTGTTTTCCTAAAATAATTGCTAAATGTCTCCAAATGTCTTATAGTATAAAGCTGGTCTACTTCGTTCGCCACAGAATGGGAAAAATATGCATGTTGTCTTTTAGTTTGGGATAACTTAATCTGGGAGATTTTTCAAAATAATTATTTTTGGTAAAGACCAGAATTAATTCACTCAACTGAGAGACCAGCAGTGGGGATTAAACCCTAAAGGTGTGTTCAGAATTATTAGTAACACTATTTGTGAATTTATGAATATTGCGGACTAGCTGATGAAAATGTAATCACGGTTTAATGGAGATGTGCGTGCTTATTTCTTAATTGGAAATTGCACAATTTGCTAACATTGATTTGTATTTTTCAGGGAACAAGTGGGACTTGATGTATAATGGACTTGTCAGAGAGCATGTCTGTGATCATCTAAAACCCGGTACATGGTATAGATTGAGGGTGTACTCCATTAGTGCTGGAGGACAAAGCCAGGTAAAACAAATTCCTGGACTTCAAAATCTGAAGAGAGTTTCCCATACAAATGTGATATTTCTATACATTATAATACATTAGAATATACAGACAGAAACGGGCCATTCAGCCCAACTGGTCTATGCCGGTGTTTATGCTCCACATTAGCCGCCTCCTGCCCTTCCTCAACTAAGCCTTCAAGCATAACCGCCTATTCCTTTCTTCCTCATGTACCTATCTAGCTTCCCCTTAAACATATCTATGACATTTGCCTCACCAACTCCTTGTGGTAGCATGTTCCATATTCCCACTACTCTGTGTAAAGACATTTCTTATTACTTCCCTATTTGATCTATTTGTGACGATTATATTGACGGCCCCTGGTTTTGGCCTCTCCCATAAGTGGAAACATCTTCCCTATGTCTACCCTATCAAAATCTTTCATCATTTTAAAGACCTCTATCAGGTCACTCCTTACCTTTCTCTTTTCAAGAGAAGAAAGTCCAAGCATGTTCAGCCTTTCCTGATAGGTATAACCTCTCAGTTCTGGAATCATCCTTGCGAATCTCCCTTGTACCCTCTCCAGTGCCTCTACACCCCTTCAATAATGTGGGGACCAGAACTGCACACATTATTCTAAGTGTGGTCTAACCAAGGTTCTATAGAAGTTTCCATAACTTCCCTGCTTTTCATTTCTATCCCTCTAGAAATGAACCTCAATTCCTGGTTTGCCTTTTTTATAGCCTTGTTAACCTGCATTGCTACTTTTAGAGAATTTTGTATGTATAACCCCTAGATCCCTTTGCTCCTCTACCCCATTTAGGTTTTTATTTTTCAGGATGTATGTGACTTCCTTATTCCCTCTACCAAAATGTTCCACCTCACACATTTCTACATTGAAATGCATTTGCCATTTAAATGCCTATTCAGCAAGTTTATTAATGTCTTGCTGTACTTTGTTGCAGTTCTCCTCTGTATTAACTACTTCCCCCAATTTAGTGTCATCTGCAAATTTTGAAATTGATTTCCGAGTCCAAATCATTAAAGTACATTGTGAACAGCTGTGGTCCCAATCCCGATCCTTGTGGAACACCACTACCCCATCCTGCCAGTATGAGTAGCTACCCTTTACCCCAACTCTCTGTTTTGTAACCAGCTTGCGATCCATTCTGCTATTTTTCCTGATTCCACATGCTCTGACCTTATTCATTAGTCTGTGTTCCATGCTTTCAAGAGCAATGGGTTAAGAGTGTTACGGAGATTGAATTTTGTTACCAATAGTGGTTTAGCTTACATTATGAATGAGAATAAAGGACAGTGATTCTTTAAGAATCTTAAACATGTTTGATTCTAAAATTTCACATGAACGATGCAACATCATTTGGTAATAATTTGGCAAACTCGCTCAGAAAAAATACAGTATGGGAAATTATGAAACGTATCACAAATGTTTTAAACAGTTGCTCTTCTGAGGTTGGGACAGAGATACTAGAATCATACTTTGTATCTGACGTTTGTTAAATCTGATTGAGAAACACCTAGATTTGGATGCTCAGAAAACTTTTAAAGGAATCATTTATAAGATTCTTGAACTGCGGCTTAGGTAGTCTAAGGAAAAAAGATACTACAATAACCATTTTCCACCCAAATAAATAGGTGTCTGAAATTTTGTCAGTGCAAACTGCAGCTGTTCCTCCTGGACCCTGCCAACCTCCTCGGCTTGCTGGTAAAGCTAGAGCAAGAGAAATACTGATACGATGGGGTAAGGACTTTGTTCTTGGTATGGGCAACTTCCTGAAAATTAACTTTTGAACAATGCCATGTAAAATTTCTAAGTCTAAACCTAATTGTTGATTATCTGTAGCACCACCTATTGTAGATGGCGGTTCCACGATCGTAGAATACACTGTAGAGATGGCACAGTCAGAAAAGGATAAGCAAAGGACTCTTTATCAGGGTTCAGAACAGGAATGTACAGTGACGGACCTATTACCAGGGAAGATGTATTGCTTCTGGGTGAAAGCTGCAAATAAAGTTGGGGTAAGGAATGTATTCAAGTGCCAACAGAATTGTTGTGCTATGTTGAATTGAAAACTTTTCAAGCCAGTTAGTTAGCCATGACAGCTAGAAACACTCGAGCAGTCATGGCTGACCAGTCAGCTTCTTTCACATTAACCCAGTCAATCACTGACATCGATTGGCCACTGCTGCCTTAGAATGTAATATATTTGGACCCAAAATTATAATAATGCGGGATGTCCTATAGTTTCTTCATTCTGGTAACAATATTCATGGGATGATTGACGATATAATATGACAACCTATCCCGGACTCAAGCATTACATCCCTCCAAATAATAATCCCTCCAAAACCCCCCAAAATAATAAATTGGTCATTTTCAATCTACGACTGTTTGTGGGACATTGCTGTGCGTAATTGGCTGCCGGGTTCGCCCACAAATATACAGTCAATTCACTTTACAGTGTGTTCTGTGAAGCGCTTTGGGACGTCCTCCAGACGTGAAAAGCGCTATATCAAATGAAAGGATTATTATTATATCAAATCAGGAAGTGGAAGATGTAAATGGGTGATCTCATTGGGCTGTTTCCCTCATCTCACTCTTATGGGATCTTGGCACTACTCACTAGCTTGACCTACTACTCACATTGTCTACAAATATAATCACTACATTTTACGTAAATCCTGTGAAACACTTTTTAAGTCATCTTGAGGTGAAGGGTTTCATATTAAATGTAAGAATTATTATTGGCACTAATGTCCACCTGAACAGACAGATGGGACCTCAGTTTAACATTTCATCTGAAGGACAGCACCTCCGACAATGCAGCATGTAGGATTATCTGCCTAGACTATGCAAGTTCAAAATCCCAAATTGGGGCTTGAACCCACATACTTCTGACTCCGATGAGAATGCTAGGTTAATACCTCATATCAAAGCAATCTTGTTTTATTAGATTCTGTTTTAAACCAAAATTTAAGATTGAATGCTCAGTTGTGTAATAACAAATTTGACTGTATTTGCTGTCCCATTAGTGTTTTGCTTAACAGTGTAAAGGATGTTGTGTAATTTGCTTTCTTCTGTAGTATGGCCCACAGTCTGAGAGGTCTGATATCCTGACAGCAGCAGGACCGCCTGAGCAATGCAACATGCCCGTTGTCTCGTGTAAGTCGGCCACTTGTGTGCACATGGATTGGGAGGTGAGCCTTATTTTTCTTTTTCCTTATAATTTGATTTTGGATTGTTATGTATGTCAGTCAAGGGGAATTCAACTAAAAATATTGCATATTCTAATTCAGGGGTCTCCAACCGGTCGCTCACCACTAGGTGGCACTCTCACGGGTGATCAAAAAGGCAAGAGGAAAGAGCGATAGAACTGCATATTTAGTCCAATTGAAAATGAAGCCAGATTTTTGTTCAAATTTTACGTTTCGGACCGAGGTTCCAATTCCAGGTACCCAGAGTCCAATAAGCTGGGGTTTTCCGGCAATTTGAAAACTAGAAGCTGCACCAAATTTGAGCATTGTATATTCAATAAATGTCCAATGTGAGAAACTAAAATTACTTTGTTTCATCACACTATATCTAGTAATCGTGTTTTTCCCTTTAGTGTCCTGAATCTAATGGTTCTGAGGTCACAGAATTCAGGCTAGAATTCGGAGGTATGGAAGGTTCCATGCAGGTATTTTACTCTGGACCTGCCCTTAATTATGAAGTGAAAGGCCTCACTCCTGCAACAGCGTACTATTGCAGAGTACAGGTAAGGAACCAGATCCTGCCTATCAATACTTCACAATGGAACTTAAAGCAATTGGACAAAGCTTCTGTTTTTAGATCTAATAGCAATTATCACATTATCCCATTCCCATGTTGTTGAAGTGAATGATGTCCGCTTTGCTTTTTCAATAATTTATTATTATTATATTTTCAGGCTGTGAATTGTGCTGGTGCCGGACACTTCAGTGATACTGCCACGTGTGTAACACCTGCTTCTGTACCAGCTGCAGTGAGTGTACTGCAAGTGATCGATGAAGACCAACTTGAATTTGTTCTTCCATCACCATCAACGTGCCTTGCTATTCAGTGGAAGGAGCCGTGCTGCCATGGGTCTGAAATCACTGGTTATAACATAGATTATGGAGATAAACAGATTTTAGCCATCAACAGAGATACAAGTTGTATCATAGAAAACTTGCAACCAGACACAACATACAGGTAATATATAGTAGAAACCCGGTTTGTGCTCACCTCGGTAATCCAGCCACCTCATGATTACGGGCACATTTTCACAATCTCTTTCATTGGCAATGTTAAAAGATAGGCTGTCTGCTTCAGTAAACTGGGCACCTCACTATTCAGGACAACGGTCATTGATTACTGCTGCTACAATGCCCTTCTCTGCTTCAAACGCCATACAAACACCCCCCTCCATTACTAACCTGTACAGTACACAGTGCGCTAGGCCTCGGGCTTCTCGCGCTGTTTCCTCGACGCTATTACTGCGGGCGGAGTGGGCTCCGGTCATGCTTGTGTGGCGCGGGAAGTGTTGGGATTGCGGAAGTGGCGTCAGCGGAAAATCGACTTCGCCCGGCACCCGCAGCCTAACCTGAGCTCCTGCGGCTAATTCTTGGTAATTGCTGTCACCTCACTAAGTAGGTCACTTTTGCCCAGTCACTTGAGTGACCGGATTAGTGAGGTTCTACTCTAAATATTTTCCAATGCATTTGGGGACTAAATAATCAAATTATATTGTGATATGTTATCAGTGAAAAACAAATTAACCAAATTGTGAATGTTAATAATATTATTAAGATTATATTATAAACATAATATGTGCCTATGTTTTTAGGATTCGAATACAAGCAGTCAGCAGCATTGGAGCAGGCCCCCTCAGTCATTCCATTAAAGCCAAAACAAAACCACTACCTCCTGAGCCTCCACACCTCGAGTGTGCAGTTTTCAGTTACCAGAGCCTTAAGCTTAAGTGGGGGGATGGGCCCAACAAAGTTTTAACCGCAAGTTCAACACAATTCAACTTGCAAATCGAGGACAAATTTGGACGGTAAGTAGAGCTTAATACTCAAAATTAGACTTTTGTTTGGGATAAAGAATGAACGAATTAAATCAAAATAGAAATAAGATGCATAGATATTTGGTTGCACAATTGATCAATAATTGAGTATGTAGAGTTTTAACCCTTTTATCTCCTACGGCCACACAGAAAATCCATATAAGTGACCTCACAAAATGCAACCTCTGACATTGCAAAAGTTTGAATTTCCTTACTCTACATATGAATTAGTTTCTGTTGAACTTGGCTCCCACCCCCAGCTCAGGTGCCCATTCAGCATTGTGAACTCACTTTGAGACATCCGCTCTAAGTGAAAGTTACTATATAAATGTAAATTCTTGCTGAAACTTGTTCATTGTGTATAGTCCAGTTAATTGATTTGCTTATCATTGTGAAGCGATAGAATTTACTTTCCATTTTTACTTCTTGACTTAGAATATGATGTTACCTTTTGCATACCTTTTAGGTTTGTTGCATTATATAGTGGACCTTGTCACACATACAAAGTGCAGAGATTGATTGAGTCCTCGGCTTACAAATTTAGAATTCAGGCATATAATGATGCTGGGGAAGGAGCATTTTCTGAAGTTTACACTTTCACTACAACCAAATCTCCTCCTCCTCTACTTAAAGGTAGGTACCAAGTAAATGTTGTTAAATAAAGTCAAAACTGTTCTCAACAATCACTCAGGAGACTGGATGAAAGTGGCCTCTGAATAACGGTCTCATAAACTTCTGTAGGCCCGTGTCTAGACTCCCGCCTGACTCCTGACACGCACCAATGCTCTGCTGAGTCGCTCACATATTGCCCACACCAATCTTGGTACTGTAAGAACTTTTTCCTCATTATATTTGCCTTCGCATAACATAATTGAAGGATTCGCCCAATAATATATTGGAAGAAAATCAGAAATAGTTGAGCTAAGACATTAATGTCACTATTGTATATCAGGGCACTTCAGAGTTGCTTTAAATAGAATGCTAAATTATGACTCAGTTTTAGTCCTAGGTGAAACATTTCTCTGATTTTCTTCTATTGTGTATCTTCGGAAATCACAAAGTGCCATTGGCAACAATTAAACAACTTGAAATGACTTTAATTTTCTATCCATGGATCACGCTCTAATAACTAGGGAAGACATTTTAGGGCACTAAAACAGCCAAGAAAAGCTTATTGTGCCCAGAGGCAGCTGGGGGGCTGTTTCTTCCCGCCGTCAGACACCATTGCCTCTGAAGGCAGAATGTACATCCACCTTGTTTTAAAGTGTATTGCATGGCACATTGAATATAATAATAATAATAATAATCGTTGCATTTGCGATTTTCAAGCGCTTTTTACGTCTTCTAGACGTCTCAAAGCTATTCACAGAATATACTGTAAAGTGAATTGACCGTATATTTGTGGGCAAAATGTGGTAGCCAATTGCGCACAGCAGTGTCCCACAAATAGTCGTGGATTGAAAATTACCAATTTTTTTTGAGGGATTATTATCAGGCGTGTGGAGTAAGGAAACTTGCCCAAGGTTTTGCCCTGCCTGGAATTGAACCCAGGTGTCTCGCTTGCAAGGCAGGTGCTCTAACCACTGAGCTACAGGACTCCACTACTGTTGTAATTCAATATAAATATAGGAGAGGATTGCAAAGCTGAAATAAAAGCAAATTGGTAGATAGGCAGGAGGACTTTGTGCCGTGAATTTTGAAGGTATTATGATTTCATGTTTACAACTCTGTGCATTTATCATTTTGCAGCGCCAAGGATACAAATGCTTGAACAAAATGCTTGTGAAATCATTTGGGATGCAGTGCAGCCAATGAAAGGCGATGCAATTGTTTACATACTTCAGAACATTATCGGGAGAGATTCTGAACAGGTAAAGTTAAATATATTGCTATTTTAACCTAAACCTGAATTAGCAGCATACAGTACATGTTACATTTTGGTAGATCAGCAATGACCCTGTAGGGTCTGTTAACTGCACCCCCTTCCCCCCCCCCCCCCCCATAATAGTTGGAATCAGCCTATTCGGCACATACCAAGAATTGGAGCAGTAACTCTCCAACGCTATCTGGCTTAGTATTACACCAGGCTGTGCCGTTACCCAGTAGGCCATTGGGGAAATCTATAACTGAATTTTCTAAACCAAAATAATTAACTGATTCCTGGAATTGTGGCAATCATAAATTTACGTTGCATTTATATTCATGTAGGATAGGTCTATGAGCGCTTTACAGTGATGGTGTCAGACATCGGGGGAGGGGGAGAAGGTGGAGGTAAGCATAGGCACAGTTGAGGAAGTATGGTTTTAAGGTGGGATTTAATGACATATAGACAAGGGGTTAAGATGGAAGAGTTGAGGGAGGGATTTCCATTGATGAAATCAATTTAATATTGTTGGGCACAAATTTGCATCTAAACCGTAGCAAAAAGGGTTTGGCCACCAATAGTGGAGTGAGGAGTGAGCAATAAACCAGAAATTGAATATATAAATTTCACTTAGTGGTTAAGAAGTGAATAACTTGTGTTCCTTTTTCAAAATACAGGTATACAGGGGACCAGAAACTTCCTTCCTTTTCACAAACGTTCAAGCAAACTGTGAATACAGGTTCCGGGTCTGTGCTGGGCGACAGTATCGTGATTCTGTTGGAGTGCAAGAACTATGTGGACCTTACAGTCCCACTGTAGCATTCTCATCTCAGAGACAAGAATCAGCACCAAGTGCTGAAACTGCAGTAGAGCTCACAAAGGTCAAGAGGAAATCATTAAGTGACGAGCAGTTTGCTGCCCTGATTGTTGTTGGCTTTGCTGTAGTCTCCATTTTGTTTGCTTTCATTATTCAGTACTTTGTAATTAAGTAGAGATTGATTGATTCATTTATGGTTATGTTTGTATCATCCAAGATAAAACTCTAGCTTTTTTCTCTTTGACCATTCAAATTAAACTGATAGCTGGAAATGATTGTATGCTGAGTGCATACATTTCCGTCTTTACTGCTGACAAATGTGAGGCAGTGTTAGCAGAATTCTGTGCACAAACAAAACACACTTATTCAAAAAGGTGTATTCCTGAGGCCTATATGTCCAATGCTGGCTGTTTCAGGACAGCTAGGACTGCCTTAACCTTTAGACCCTTAGCCAGTACTGTCCAGCCAGGAGTCATTTATTTAAGGAATTTGTAAAAGTAGCCCTTATGAAATATCCAAGCAAGGAGAAATAGACAAAAACCTTTCCATAGTCTGGAAAGTACTGCAGACTAGTAGCGGTTTATATGGCCTGGAGCAAGCTTCATTGGCAGTCATGATGTTAGATGAGCAATGAACTGTTGTGCAACAGTTTGCTGGGCATATGCTTTCAGAGTAGCATAGCCACTCTTGAATACAAGTAAGAGACGTTTTTTTCATACATTTCAGCAATGGTTTGTCGAGTGAAGTTAGTTTGAAAACAAATGTACTGTAAATTATATTACAGGACCATGAATACTTGCAGGTAATATTGTTGGGCACAGATTTGCATTTAAATTTTCTTTTCTAGCGGTCCATGAAGGTAATTAAATGCTATTGTGCTTGCACATATTACAGCTCTTTTCAGCAAAGCACAGATTTTAATAATGTGTCTGTGATTCTAACAGTGCAGTTTTGAACTGCATTTGTTATAAAGAATTGTTATAAACGTTTCACTATTTGGCTCAAACTGAGCAAAGTTTTGTAAAAAAAAAAATCTGAATACATTGTCTAAATCTCAAATACCCAGTTAACTGATTTTTTTTATATATAAGTTTCCCTTTTTTCTATTTAGAGGAAAGAGCATAGAGCCTTTAAAGTCCATGTTACCTGGATATTGTACATCTCATATAACCTAGGTTGCAGTTTCAGAATACAATTACATTATAGTTCTGAGAACGAGTTAAAAAGTGTTTCAGAATGTCCAACTTGCCATACTAGATGCCAGTTTATTGATTGTCAAAATTTACATTCCACTACTTTGCACCTGAGGTGGTGCCATACAGTTTTAATTGATTTGTATGTGGAAGAAACCTGCATTTTTATATGTTTTTCACTTTCTGATGACTGTTCTTTTGCAGGAAGTGAGTCGTTCTGTATTGTGAAGTAGTGATCCTTTTTATTTTTTTCTTAGGAGTTTCATTTATGGTGCAATTCTAGAATAACCTTTCCAAATATATATCTTCCATTTTATATTTTATTTATTATAATTAAGAAGTCCAGGAAATCTATGTATGAATGTATTATACTTGTAGCAAGTCATAACTTAAGTAAATTTTTCAATGTAGTTGGAAGCCTTGCATTTGCCCTGTTATTGGAAAATGTATTTCACATTTAGATAATTATAAGGGGACAAACGTTGAAAGTGTCTTAATATTCCTGTAGAATGGTTTACATTGATCTTTTTGATGTTCTAAATTCCATTTACTTTTATTTCTTTAAATGAATTGTGGCATGCAGTTTAAAGACTGTCATAAAAGTGTATTGTCTATTTTGCCAAAGGTGACATCTTTTGATTTCAGCTTTTTAAATAGAATATCCCACATTGATGATAGGCGGTTTTGTATTGGTTTGAAATGATGTCACTTTGAGGTGTGGACGAACTACTTGAGGAAGTAGTGGAGAAGTATTCAAGCTGTTGGATTTCTAGACTGGAGTATTTTCTTAAGAAACTTACGGTGCCTAATTCTGGATGTGTTTAGTACATTAAAAATACAAATTATATGATTGCTTCCACCATTAGCAGTAAGTTGATTACTTATTTCAATGAATTAACTGGGTACATTAGTATTTTATGTTGCATAGTTTTTAATATTAAATATACATTCCAAAACATACCTTAGATGCATTAATGTACTAAATATACCGCTTTCAACTTTATGTATTGTACTATATGGAGCCATTTCACAAATTCATGTTAATGCTGCCATTCATATGTATGACTAAACTGTAACTATCAAATAGATAATATATTTAATAACGGCCAATAAAATGTAAATTAATTACATAAGAGTAATGATTTTGTACTTCTGTAATGTATTTCAGGTATTTGCAATGTATTTCATGTGTCCTATAATGCTAATGTGCTAACTGCATCCACTTCAATATTAACTAAATTTAATTTTGGTTGAAAAATACATACAGTTCAGATTGCACTTAATTGTATTACAAACCTATAATTTAAAAAAAATACTGTTTCTTACAATATGAGCAGAAAATGGATATAATTGATTACGATTTACTCTTAATACTTAGAGGTTAAATAAAGAATACAAGATTGAAGTGAACAGAAAGGTGTGAGGGGAGGCTAGGGAAGGGGATTAGGATTGGTGAAGGCTCATGCAGAGTATAAATATGGACGCGTTGGTTTGAATGACCTGTTTTGATTTGGTTTCATAGATTCTGTGTAACGATGGAAGGATTTTTTCCTTGGAAATTGAGGAGGGGAGTTGACCCTTCAGTTTTTTTTAAATATCGTTTATAATAAATCAAATACAAACAGTCACATTACTTTACAGTACATTCTGGGACGTGCTTTGAGGTGTCTCAATGACGTGATAAGGCGCTAAAAATACAAATGGTACTTATAATTTTCAAAGCACTATAAGCATTTCACAGGAATTGTTTAAACTATTTCTGGCAGTGTCCCACAAACCACTAACAAATGAATGATGAATAGTAGCTGGGAGATTGTTGGCAAGGAGCACAGGAAAACATCCTTAGTGAAAATAAATATTTGCCATAAATCTGTACAATTTGCTTTTTCAATGTATCATCAATTCAAACTTTAGATAAAATACAAAGGGGTGCTTACATCAGCCATCTTCAGAATCCATCACAAACTCCAGCTAAATCCATCTTTCACGATATTACATTGTAATCAGTGTATTTGATATTGTGGTAATATGTCTCAAAACAGTAATGACTGTTAAGTGCAGTGAGTGTATTTGTCGGTAAATGCAGCAGCTGTTTGCACACGCAAATACTCCACAAACAATCATGAGGTGAAGGACGAATTAGGTTTGGAGCTTTATTGGCCAGAATCCTGAGAGAAACTCCCTTCTCTATTATTTAAATAGTGTCATGGATTCTGCAACATCCACCCAGAAACAGACCTCAGTTCAGTGTCTCATCTTAAGGATGCACTGAGAGCATCGGCCTGGACACTGACTTTAATGAATATAATAATAATCCTTGCATTTGATATAGTGCTTTTCACGTCTTCTCGATGTCTCAAAGCGCTTCACAGAACATGCTGTAAAGTGAATTGACTGCGTATTTGTGGGCGAAACGCGGCAGCCAATTGCGCACAGAAGCGTCCCACAAACAGTCGTGGATCGAAAATGACCCAATTTATTATTGTTTTGTCTACGAAGATCTCTGACCCAAGGCGAGAGCTATCGATAAAGCAAAAGGCTCTTTATTTTTCAACCAAGGCGAAAGGGCCAAACATTAAAGAGCACAATAGATGTACAACTCCGGACATAAACTGGACGAAATAAGATCCGGCATCTTCAAAGTGGGTGGCGGTGGGGAAAGGAGTAATAATAATAATCCTTGCATTTGATATAGCGCTTTTCACGTCGGGAGGACGTCCCAAAGCGCTTCACAGAACACACTGTAAAGTGAATTGACTGTATATTTGTGGGCGAACGAATTGGGGGTAGCGTCCCAACTACTCGAGACGAGCCCAGCACTGACGTCAGCCCCACTCTGGACGCTGAGCATGTTTTTTTGAGTTGGATCTATTTGAAGACGACGGCGACGACGGCGGCGGCGAAATCACATGAGCGGAAAGTAAATTTTTGTTTGCAATTGCACTGTGTACTCGTGAACACATCTCATTGTAAAAGACGTGCAATTTGCAACGTTAGAAAAACCTGAGTTAGTGCTCTCTTTTGTGTGTGTGTGTTTTTTTCTTTTTAAAAAAATAAAAACTGCGACACGTCGTAAAAACGCCGGTGACCCAAGTCTGGTTCGTATAAAAACGATCTTTATTGTGTATTTGCTTTTTAAAAAAAAACAGATGATTTTTGAAAGGCTTTTGAGTGCCTCTCGAGATGCTCAGTGCGGTGGGAACCCCTGGGAGGACGGTGACGCGTCACGGGCGTCACGTGACGCGCCGGGCTCCTCCGGAAGTGACGCCTCAACCCCCCCCCCCCCCACACACACACACCCACAGCGGCGGAAGTCAGCCTCCAGGACAAGATGGCGGCTCCGAAGATCGCGCCGAGAGACGCTCAGGTACGGGTTTGAGTTTCAGCCGATTCACGGCGGCGAAGGTGGTGGCAGCAGCGCGTGGGTGGATGGGTGGGTGGGTGGGAGGGAGGGGAATTAAAACAAACCCCCCACCCACTCACCCCACCCCCGCGCGGCCTGTCACACCTGGAACTATCCCCCCCCCCCCCACCCCGATGCCGGTCCACGCTGCGGCTCGCGCTCCAGGCGTTGAAGGTGCAGCGCGAACCCGGTTCCAACTGTCACAGGGATCCAACTCCCCCCTCTTGTCGTGTTGTGCTCTCGACGCGTAAAGAGCACACAACGAATCGGCTACGAAACGCCCGGCGCGCGTTTGATTCAAGCGGCAGTTACAAACGTCGGCTGTTATTGATAAATATCGAGACAAACCAATTCTCCTGACTGTAACGAGAGTGTTCTCACCCCCCGCCCCCACCCCACCAGACACATACACACACACACACACACACCCCCACACACACACCCCACCCACACACACACACACCCCACACACACACACCCCACCCACACACACACCCCACACACCCCACACACACACACCCCACACCCACCCACACACACACACCCCCCCCCCACACACACACACACACACACCCCACACACACACACACCCCACACACACACCCCACACCCACCCACACACACACACCCCACACACACCCCCCCCACACACACACACCCCACACCCACCCACACACACACACCCCACACCCACCCACACACACCCCTCCCCACACACACACACACCCCCCACACACACACCTCACACACAACCCACACACACACCCACACCCCCCACACACACACACCCCACCTCCCCCACACCCACCACCCACACACACCCCACCCACACACCACCCACACACACCCACACACACACCACCCACACACACACACCCCACCACCCACCCACACCCCACCACCCACCCACACACACCCCCCCACACACACACACACACCCACACACACACCCCACACACACACACACCACCCACACACACACCACCCCACACACACACCCCACACACACACACCCCCCACACACACCCACCCCCTCCACACACACACACCCCACCCACACAGAGGAGTTTCTCTTGATCCAGGTCCCCCAGTCTCCTCTCTCTGAATGTCCAGTCAGTACTCTCGATGTCACCTGGTTAGATTGTAACCTGGGCAAGTCGTCCGAGACGACTTTCTCTCTTGTTTTAATCTTTTAAGGCAGTTGAATTTTAAATGATGTTCTCCCCTGTCTTTCGTTTGCACTGTTGCCCGTGCTCAAGAGTGGTCGGGTAAAAGCAGGTTTAATAGTTGATTGAATACAAATGCAATAGTGGCAAAGAAAGGTTTGTGAAATGACTAGATTTGATTTGATTTCTCGCCTGTGACGCATAAGTTCTTTCATTTCACATTGCTGCAGTAACTGATTTTTAACTTTTAAAGCGAGCACTGTTATTTTGTCTGGAAATGTTCCATACATCTTAACATCTTTACTTTTTCTATAGGTTATGGCGCAGATTTTGAAGGATATGGGCATCGCAGAATATGAACCAAGAGTTATTAATCAGATGTTGGAATTTACTTATCGTAAGTAAGGTCAATACATAATGACGTTTTACAACACTTAAATCAGCAGAAATATTGATGTCTGTTGCATCTTTCAGGATACATAACAACAATACTGGAAGATGCTAAAATATATTCTAGTCATGCTAAAAAATCAAGTGTTGATGCTGATGATGTAAGACTGGCTATTCAGTGTCGAATGGACCATTCGTTTACATCGCCTCCTCCTAGAGATGTAAGTATTGCTCAGTGAAAAGTGTGTTTACAATCAGCATTCATCAGTCAGTCATTTTAAAACACTGAACAAATATTCTGTACCATCTCCCCAGTTTCTTTTGGAGATTGCTCGGCAGAAGAATCAAAACCCATTACCTTTAATAAAACCGTATTCTGGGCCCAGGCTACCACCAGACAGATATTGCTTAACAGCTCCGAACTACAGACTGAAGTCACTACATAAGAAGGTATTTGTCAACATTTTATTGTTTGATTCAATGTTGATTGAGTACAGTTGATTGAGCTGTTCAGAACTTTTTGTTGAGTTTGTATTTTTTTAAAAAAATGCTTTTTTCACTCAACTTTAAAGATGACACCATCCAGCGGAAGAATAACTGTACCAAGACTAAGTGTTGGAACATGTGTTACAAGTCGCCCCAGTACACCAACACTGGGTAAGTGAAAATCTCTCTTTTTTATAGGAAGGTGAAGCTAACTTTTGTATTTGTTTAGTTTTAAATGCAGCCATCAATAGTTCTTTGATAATGCAGTAACTTTTACAACCCTTTCCTTTTAACACAAAACAATGTTTTACCACATGAGTCAGAAAATGATTCATGAAGATTGACCTTAAATTTTGATTGCTATTCAATTTATAATCACGTAATCCAAATTTGGTGCAGGCTTTTGCGTCTTAATTCAGTACAGTTATTATTCGAATCATTATTTGAATCCCAGTGACTCCTAAAATTACACTAAATAATTGTAATAAAGACAGCTTATTTGGTTAGAAAACAATATCTTCACTGTTGTTGAGTACTGATGCCTATGTGTATAATGCTAGATAATTTAATTTCATAGTATTTAATCCACTATTTATATAATGTGGAATCATGAAATGCTTCTTGCCATATCTTATAAACTTAATTTCAGTGTTGCAGTGGAGCCCACTTTATTATTATCGCTGTTCAGTTTATTTAAAATGTTAATTTCTACTGATGATTTAGTTTCATACTTGACAATATTAAATTAGAAATGTAGAATCAATTGCATTAGGAATCTAGCTTTAATGAATATAAATTTGCATCATGTTTGTGATCCCAATTTCCTTTTGTTTCATAGAATAGCATCTCACAATTTTTCCCCAACTAAAAAAAATGAAACGTATGTCCAGTAAGTTAACAATATGGAGATGCTAGTTTTAATAGCATTTTCAAAATGTACCGAGTTAGATTCTACATATTTGAAACATATCTGAAAAGTATAATTTGTCTTTAAAGGTACCCCTTCATCACAAACGGTGGCTGTTACTACAAAAGTGGGAACTCCTGTCTCACTCGCAGGACAAAGATTCACTGTGCAAATTCCTTCCTCGCAAACGTCTGTCAAATCAGGTACAGTTTGACTTTGTAATTTACATATTTAGATGCCTTTTGGAGTTGAAACTTTATTCCCTGTGAGGTTGAAGTTTCAAACTCAATTTACTGTAACAATCAACCAAAACCATTTGTTTTCTGGTCCGCGATTCCAAAATGGGTGGAATAGTGGAATGTTACACACTGTCAAGAGATTGGGGTGAATTTCAGTTCCTCAGGTACTTGACATAACTCGTAGAATTCTCTTTTAATTGGAAGAACTACATTATATTAACTATATATCTATATTTTTATAAATGCTACAATGTCATAGAAATTAGTTGTTTTATTCAAAAAAACAAAGTTTGGCTGTTATCAGATTTAACCATTAGCTTACTATTTATCAGAGAAATCTGTTTTTGTTTCCATACAGCAACAGGCATACAATCAACAACTGCGGTTCAAAATGTCCTGATTAACCCATCTCTCATTGGTTCAAAAAATATCCTCATCACGACTAACATGGTCTCAACCCCAAGTACCACCAGTGATGGAAATTCTTTGAAACGGAAACATGAAGATGATGATGACTTTGATGCTTCATAAAAGTAAACCGGAACATTGTTTTGTAAAGCTATTGTGCTTTCCAGAAAACATACTACAGAATGAGACACCCAGATTATGAATCATGTTCTTTTGCAGACACCATTGACAGAAGTTTACTAAATGTCACCTCATTATCCTCAGATGGTTTGCAGGTCATCTGTTTGGACAAGCTGGGCATTAATTACATCCAGGAATGTGAAACTAATTTATAAAAATGCTAGCACTCTATGGCCAGTTCAAATTGTGAACATCAGACGTTGGAGATTAAAGAAATGTGCCATTCAAAACGCTGGATTTCTTCTTGCCACATGTTTATTTGTTTTTTGAAGTAGCCTGAATTCAATTTAAAATATGTTTTGAGGTGTGCAGAATTATTGGATTTTAAGAGTTGATTTGGGGAGTTTCAAGTATTTGCTACATTGTTGTCGTTTTTTATTGTTTTCCACATTTAATTCATGTGAATAATTGGTATTGAGACAGGCTTTTATTCCTCATGAAAATGTGAAAGTTACGTGTGTTGAAACTTACACATTTTTTTGTTAGTTATTATGTAAAATAAATTTGCATTTGGAGATACGGTTTTACAAAAGTTATTCAAAATGTGAACCAGTTGTATTTTAATAAATTTTTGTACAATGAGATGAGACCAAGTTTGGGGGGAAAAGTCATTTAACCTTAGTTATGTCTCTGCAAAAGCTACATTCAATACAGCATGGAAACAAACACTTCTTGTTACTTAGAAGAGTTGTGTTTTATTGTAGAATGTTTAAACAAATAGGAGATTTGTGCAATTCGGTGCTGCTTTTTCAATAGGTTTTATTCTAAATAGAAAATCTTTATTTGTGAGATCTCAAATCTATCCAAACTGATTTGTAGTTATAAGTCTTTTAAATGTACATCAAGATGAATTTTCTTTTGTGCCTGACAAGTGTGGAAACCAATCATCGTGTTTAAGAGTATCCAAACTAAACTGAGATTTCTGTGGACCCACCTACAAATGGAAATTTCAGAGAGATTGTTGGAATGGAATACGCACTCTCTCCCTCAAGGTATGCATCCTGCTTACCTCATTCCAGAAAGTACTAGGCGCAAGTTGGGGACCCCAGAGTGTGCGTTATGGTACTGCTGGAGTACCAGCTAAAACCATTTTTACATTTTTAGCATCATTACTGCTAACCGGCAAACTTTCCCGCTGCTTGTCCAACTAGGATCACCCTATCCATTAGGGCTTTGGCTTGCCGGGTTAACAGGAGCTTAGTGGAAGGATTCCCTTCCCCCAGTGACCTTCCGATGAGCCAAGTTGGGCAGTGTTGTCATCTGTAGTGCCCTGGAGTACTGCGGACCCTGCCCTGGATCAGGTACCGGACTACCAAGACCGCCACAGGGGGCTGGCTCGATTCCCACATTCCGTTGCCAGTTATTATCACTTTGGTACCAGTTCAGCTCTATGGAGACCCTGCTTATCTCCCTGTCTGGCCACGTCTGTGCTGTGAGGCTGCTGTCTGGTCAGGTCTGCTGTGAGGCTGCTGTCTGGTCGGGTCTGTGCTGTGGGGCTGCTGTCTGGTCAGGTCTGTGCTATGAGGCTGCTGTCTGATTGGGTCCGTGCTTTGAGGTTGTTGTCTGGTCTGGGCTGTGGGGCTGCTGTCTGGTCTGTGCTGCTGCTGTCTGGTCTGTGGGGTTGCTGTCTGGTCTGGGGTGTGCTGTGGGGCTGCTGTCTGGTCTGGGCTGTGGGGCTGCTGTCTGGTCTGTGCTGCTGCTGTCTGGTCTGTGGGGTTGCTGTCTGGTCTGGGGTGTGCTGTGGGGCTGCTGTCTGGTCTGTGCTGTGGGGCTGCTGTCTGGGCTGTGCTGTGGGGCTGCTGTCTGTGCTGTGGGGCTGCTGTCTGGTCTGTGCTGCTGCTGTCTGTGCTGTGGGGCTGCTGTCTGGGCTGTGCTGTGGGGCTGCTGTCTGGTCTGTGCTGTGGGGCTGCTGTCTGGTCTGTGCTGTGGGGCTGCTGTCTGGTCTGTGCTGTGGGGCTGCTGTCTGGTCTGTGCTCTGCTGTGGGGCTGCTGTCTGGGCTGTGCTGTGGGGCTGCTGTCTGGTCTGTGCTATGCTGTGGGGCTGCTGTCTGGTCTGTGTTGTGCTGTGGGGCTGCTGTCTGGGCTGTGCTGTGGGGCTGCTGTCTGGTCTGTGTTGTGCTGTGGGGCTGCTGTCTGGGCTGTGCTGTGGGGCTGCTGTCTGGGCTGTGCTATGCTGTGGGGCTGCTGTCTGGTCTGTGTTATGCTGTGGGGCTGCTGTCTGGTCTGTGCTGTGGGGCTGCTGTCTGGTCTGGTCTGTGCTGTGGGGCTGCTGTCTGGTCTGGTCTGTGCTGTGGGGCTGCTGTCTGTGCTGTGGGGCTGCTGTCTGGTCTGTGCTGTGGGGCTGCTGGCTGTGCTGTGGGGCTGCTGTCTGGTCTGTGCTGTGGGGCTGCTGTCTGGTCTGTGCTGTCGCTACCCAGAGTTCAGCGGGTGCGCCTGCGCAGTGTCGGGGGGTGGCTGCTCGGGGCTGTCATGGCGGCGTCTCTCCTCTCCAGGATAACATTGGGGTCGACCGGCAGGACCGCGGCCTCCAGGGTAGGTACGAAGCCGAGAGTCGAGCTTGTGGTGGGGGAAGGAAGTTCCTCGTTACTAACTGGCGGTCGGGAACCCCGGTGCGCGCTTGACTCCCGTTGTCGGGCAACAGCTGAGCTGAGGCCCGGGGTCGCGGCGGCCTCTTCCCGCGGGAGGTGAGGACGTTGGGAGAGACTCGGGGACCGTTGGACAGGAGGCCGTGACTGATAGGGTTTGCATTTCGTTTTAGGGTCACCAAATTCCCCCCCTCCCACACGCCCCACCCACGTCCCCGCCCCCCGAGTGTGTGCTCCACCATTGCTGGGCGCTGCCCTGTGGCCTGGAGGCGCTTTGAGCCGAGGGGCTGATTGCCTTTTAATTGAAACCTGCACCAAATAGTAAGAACGAGGACGACGATCGTGGCATTCGATACAGCGCCTCGTCGCGTCTCCGAGACGTCTCAAAGCGCTTCACAGGCTATACCGCGCAGCGAATTGACTGTATATTTTTGTGGGCGAAAGGCGGCGGCCCATTGCGCGCGGCGGTGTCCCCACAAAACAGCCGTGGGTCGAAGCGAACCGATTTGCTGGATTCAAACAACGAACGGATGACGGATGGGGTGAGAGTGCCAGAGCCTGATGCTGACACCGCACTCCTGTCCGAACTGGAAAACAAAAGCGCTCTACTGCTCAGCACTCGCACTCCTCCGCTCCAGCTGAGGACGAGCCCCACCTAACCCTCAAGTGTATAAATATTATGACAGTGAAATAACAAGTCGTTCTGAAATGAAACTGAGCGTAAATATTATGTACTGCAGTTTGTAATCAAGTCTCATTAGCAGCTGAAATAAAATTAAAGTAATGTTCAATTATAACATTGGAGCTCCGGAACGCAACCCCGCGTGAAGGGCGCTACATAAATGCAAGTTGTTGTTAAATGCAAGTTCTTTTTTAACCTATTTGGAATTTTGATTTTTGATGGCACTGCATTGCTTTCAGGAACATAATAATAATAATCCTTGCATTTGATATAGCACTTTTCACGTCGGGAGGACGTCCCAAAGCGCTTCACAGAACACACACTGTAAAGTGAATTGACTGTATATTTGTGGGCGAACGCGGCAGCCAATTGCGCACATCAATGTCCCACAAACAGTCCTAGATTGAAAATGACCAATGTTCTTTTACATGCTCTTTTACTGTAATCTGCTTAGTCACCTACAAATATACAATCGGTCTACATTACAGAAAATTCTGCAAAGTGCTTTGACATGAAACTGCTCACAAAAAAATCAAGAATTAGAATTATTACTGCAATGAGAGCATCATTACATATAGTGACTTTTGGGTGTGAATATGACAGATTTTTAGAAGGCGTAATATTGTAAATAAACCTGTTATCGATGCCATTGCTTTTATAGTAGAAGTCTTATTAGAAACAATGTCTATTTTATGGGCAGTACTCTTTGCTTTGAACCAAACTAAAGTTTGCAATAAGTGTTATATTATAGTTTAATATATTGTGACAATTGCATTGTAAGTTACCCAGAAAAATACAGTCAATTCACTTTACAGTATATTCTGTGAAGCGCTTTGAAACGTCTCAAAGATGTGATAAGGTGCCATATCAAATACAAGAATTATTATAAGAAGTAATTTGGGATTACTTAGTACATAATAATATGCATTATACCTACTTCCAGGAAGTTTTGCTATGTGCTTAACTGAACTTTCAGGTAGAAAAAATATCACACATGACACTTTCATATTGTTGAACAGATAATCACAAAGGAATAAATATTTAGGACACATGATAAGGTATTGTTGATCTTTAATTTGTTTTAACCAAGTATATTACAAAGTAAACATTTTAGTTGATTAATTGAAGTTTGAAGCAATATGGTATTGATGTGAGGTGTGTAGTTTGTTTTTAGAAATTAGTGAAGACATGTTGAAAAATGTTGTTCTTGGTTGACAATACCAGAAATGAAAGCTAATTCACAATGGGGGCAAGCATTTAAATATCAGTTATCAATGAGACTGAAGTTGGAAGATTCAGGGTAAACATCTCAATTAAATTGAGCCAATATCTGGTTGAAGATGTACTGCTTTTGAGAGATCAGATTTAGAGTGTTTCACCATAGTCTTGTTCCACCTTTATTTAATCTTGGCATAACAATCTATGTTTAGCTTGTGGTAGAGTATTGCTTTTATTTGCATCCACATTAGATTTTTGAAATGCTGTGTGTTATTTTTCCTTCTAGGTATTTGGGGCGTCGTTAAATGTTGGGAATGAAGTCCAGCAGCAACACCAAAGAAATCTGTCCCTTCATGAATACCTGAGTATGGGTTTATTGAAGGATGCAGGAATTTTTATCCCAAAAGGGCAAGTTGCCAGTAGTGCTGATGAAGCTTTCAGTGTTGCCAAAACAATAGGTATACATTTTCTTCCTGCATTTTGAAGAAATAAAGTAGAAAATGGTACACTTAGAATGAAAACTGTTGTGATTTTCACCATCTTGAGGCTGCACATTTCCACAATCTTTTGATTCTTAGCAAACTGAACATTCTGAAAAGTGGAACTTGTGTTGATTGTTTGATTTAGATGAAGAGTTAAATGTTTGAGAATTTGAAAATTGTAGTCTTTGTACTGTTTGTGAAATTTAACAATGTTGTACTTTGCCAAACTATGTTTGGTTTATAAATGACAGCATAAAAAGGATCACACCAGAATGTTAACATGGCTTTTTCTTTTAGGTGGAATTGTCCACCAACTTCCAGCAGTATCCATATTTCAAATGGAAGTTCAGTGAAAACATGTGCCACAAATATAACCAAACTTGTACAAACACATTTTTTTAAGGACTTTGCTATTTTCGGCATATTACATCTCCATTCTTAGATTTATAAGTAAAATTGTAGGACTTTGACACACAATAAGTGTTAACTTTGACCCGCCATCATTCGTGCACCAACATACTACACCACAGAGTTGCAGATTAAAGATTTCTGTCTGTTTTTTTTACAAGCTATTTTTCCACCAGTTGGAGTTGTCAGTGCAATCTCCGAAAAAGCTGTTGGAACCCTCAATTGCTCTTATGTAATCATATCAAAGTCATAATTTATCTTGAAGTAATTTCACCTTTTTGTGATGGTATTTCATAGATCTAGGTACCAGTGTAAAATGTAGATTTCTCATTATAAAATGTGTAATATTTCAATAGTATATTAGCTGTCAGCATCTAAATTGGTTTCTTTTGTTTTAGTCTCTGCCTCCCCACCAAAGAAAATCAACCCAAATAGTTACACAGCAGACCAAATATTTATATTTCTTTCCAATAGGGTCAAATGATCTGGTGGTGAAAGCTCAGGTTCTTGCAGGAGGCAGAGGCAAAGGAGAATTTGAAAGTGGCCTGAAAGGGGGCGTGAAAATAGTTTATTCGTAAGTATGAAAATCATACATTTTCATGCTGATCTTAGTTCTCTCTTAATCCCAACCGCTAACCACTGCTTTATGACTCAATTTGAATGTCTGGATGTTACGTTCTCCCTGTTTTCACATTTGGTTGTTAGGTATTGCAACCTGCAACATAGTCATCTTCCTGACTCAGCAACTTTCCTGATTCTGCAAAATCATCATCACGGAATGTTTTAGCCAGCTTAGAGTTGGTTTGTTGGAGGCAAAGATCGCTACAGGGTAGGATAACAGCAAAAGGTTAATTCTCTGGATTGGTAGGAAGAACACTGAACTTATAGAAATCTAATCCTTGACACTTAGTATTTAGCTAGGAAGACTTGCTATTATGGATGGATAATAAATCAAACAGACAAAGAGTATGCCCAATAAAACTCATAAGATGTCATTCATCACAGAGGTAATTTTGCTAGTCATACAATTTATATAAAAAAAAATTCTGGATTGTAGCAGTAGGTAATAGTCTTCATGTTTACTATAGATTTGAATTTTACCTTGCTAATATCAGTCTCTAACTTCTAGGCATCTGGTTGACTTAAGCTTTCATCCATCTTGACTGCATCCCGGAAGGCAGGACTTCCCAGCAGTATTTAAGACAGTACAACGTTTATCACAAACGTTTGGTTCCTCTCCTGACCCAGCAAGATCTTCCATACAGGACATATCAGCCAGCTAAGAATCTGGTTATTGGAGACAAAATGAAGGAAGTGGCTATTGTTTAGATAACAACAACTAAACCAATTCTCTAGATAGGTAGGAAGAACTCTGGAATTACACAAATTTAATTCTTGATGTAAAGTTTTTAGTTCTTGTTTTAAGTGTAGATGATTTTATAAATTGCACTGTTGATTTTTTACAAATAAAATAAATGTAAGCTAAATTTTAAATACTAGACAGAGCATTGGCAAAATACTTCATTTAACTATTATGATTTTAAAGGCTAATATTAGTGAGTACAAGGATTTCTTAAGCATCTTGTTCTTGAGTACAAGGATTGTTCTTAAATAAGACCCCCAATTCCCAGCTCAGGTGCAAACCTTAGACTGTCCAGCACTTTGAGACATCCTCCCGATGTGAAAGGCGCAATGTAAATACATTTTTATTTCTATAAGGCTTTGTATGCAAAATTTTTCATTGACTCCAAAGAGTTGTCAGTTTTCTATAAAAAATATATTGTCAGTTTTTGCACTGTTGCCCTGCATAAATTCTTCACTAGGTGGCAGTAAAGGCTACAGAATGTCAGAGTTAAAAGATATAGTGTTGTCAGCTCAAAGTGAATTATTTTGAATTCTTACGCCATATATTATACTAAAAATATAATATTGAGAGCTGCAACATGCATCAGCATTTGAATATACACATTAAAACAAACTAATCACTTTGTCACTGTTGTAAGTTGAGAAACAAAATTACCTTTATCAGTTTTAGATGCTCATGCTCAAAGTTATTTGATTGTCTGAATCTCTTTTCAGCAAGGCACTATTGGATGTTTGAAAACTTTGCTTCTCTCTAGAGCTCTTGTGACGTGATCTTTATAGCTATTTGTCAGTAACAAGTAACCTTTTATAGTTGCCAATATCATACGTTGATCAAGAGAGTTTCAAGAGGGACAAGTGTCTTTAATCAGTGTTGCTTTTGATACAGTGCCGTTATGGGAAGGATGTCTCAAAGTACTTCACAGAATTTATTGCAAACAACAACAACAAAATTACATTTATATAGCGCCTTTCATGTCGGGAGGACGTCCCAAGGCGCTGGACAGACAAGAGTTATGGATCTGACCTGAGGGGGAGGGCAGGGGCGGAAGCAGGGAGATCGAAAGCATAATCAAATGGGAAGGTCTTGAAGGTGGCGAGGGTGGGGATAAGACGGAAAAGTTCCAGAGGCTGGGTGCAGAGTGGCAGAAGGCCCACCCACCGATAGTGGGGCGAGCAAGGTGGGGGGTGTGAAGCAGGCCGGAGCCCGCTGAGCAGAGGGAGCGAACAGGATGGTAGGAGGTTAGAAGGTCGCAGAGATAGGGGGGAGCAAATCCGTGGAGGGCTTTGAAGGTGAGGACCAGGATCTTGAACTGTATCCTCTGTGTGATGGGAAGCCATTGGAGTTGGGTAAGGATGCGGGTGATAGGGTCACGGAGCCTAGTGCGGAAGAGGACACGGGCTGCAGAGTTCTGGATGATCTGCAGCTTATGGAGGTCGAATGTGGGGAGGCCAACAAGCAGTGAGTTTGCATAGTCGAGCCTCGATGTAATGAAGGCATGTATAAGGGAGGGGGCAAAGTATAATAACTATATACTTTGTAAGCAAACAGCTGATTTCAGTATATTTCTTTCACAGGGCTAGTTCTCTGAGGAGTTAAATCCTGGATGGAACTTAGCAGCACTACATGTAATGTCAACATGCCTAAACAAAACAAATATTGAAGTAAAGCCATTTTTAGTCTGCTTGGAGCAACTCCAAATTCTAGATGTGCACACTTATGAATGTGTTGTACAGTTCCTGACTACACAGCTTTATAAGACCCTATAACCTTGTGAACAAGATAAAAATATATCATGATGACTTAAGCTGCTGCAGCTGTATTTCAATTTCAGCTTTTGTTACACAGACTGGCTACTTAATTAAAATACAGTTAACTACTATAGTTTACTGTGCCCATTGTTTAATTTTGTCATATACTGAATAGAGTTTTCATGGAAAAGAGACAGCTCAATACGAAACATCAATACTCTGGTTTGTAGTGAAGGAATATACTGAGTTTTTAATGTTTGTATTGACATGGTACTGTCAGCAGCTACTATTTATAAATGTACCTTAAAGGTCTTTGAGATGTATTTTTGTTGGCTCACTTTCCAGAAGATATAAATAAATTACTTCTCTGACAACTTGTAACTACATTGGTATGGCATTTCATGCCAATGTGTCCTGGAATCTGCTGTTTGTTTTTAATTCAGACTAACAAAATTAAATATTCTTGTTGTAAAATAGGTACAGCAACAATTTATATTTACATGATTTTTGTGTCAGGAAGATATCTCAAAGCCCTTCACATAAATGACTGGAAGCCCAAACTGGCAGTGGGGAAGGGGGAGCGAAAGCATGGTCAAAGATAGGTCTCGAGGTAAAGGGCCTTCACAGAAGGTGGAGTTCCGGAGAATTGGGGCAGAATGACTTGACAGCTTGCCTACCATTGGTGGAGTGGATTGAGAACAAAAGCAGACTGGTGTTCAGTGAGCAGATAAGGCATCCAGGGCAGAGGTAGGGAGGGGTAAAGCCATGGAGGGATTTGAATGTGGCATCCTGAATTCAATCTACTGGGGAATGGTGACCCAATGGAGCCAAATGAGGTTGGAAGTCGTTGACTTGGGGAACCTAGTAAGGGCACTGGCTGCAGAGTGCTTTTAGCTTACAGTAATATCTGTTCTTCTCTCAAGACCAGGTTAATACAAATGTTTAAAATTAAAAGTTATACTGTAGTACCCAATTCCTACTATGGCGTGGTGTTGATCAGAATTATAGCGGCAACATCTGGCAAAAGCCTATTTGCTTTTATAGTAAACTAACTGTACCTGTTGCAGCTACGCTTGCAACCAAAGGATCCAATATGGAATGTAGATTGACACACAGACAGACATTTCATCTTTATCTTTACTCAACTGGGAGGTCTCCTTTTGGGAGGAGTCAATGGGAGGACTTGGCACTTTAAAAATGTAATAATTTGTTGTTGCCACGGCTTAGCTTTATCTGTGCTCTTTATTGGGTTGGCTGTGTGCGTGCTCTGTGATGCATGATGCCACAGCCCCACTTTGACTCAGCGGACACCAGGTGTAACTGCGGCGAAAAACGTAAAACTGAAATACATTTTAAGTTGTAACTCATGAATGATAGAAGATACCAGAAAACAAATATGCCCATGTCAATCCCAAGTGCAAGACCTTTTCGATGAGGTATAAATCATGATTGTACGTCAGTCGGTTATTGAAATCCTTGAAGCATAGACAGACATTGTCATTTTATAATAATCCTTGCAAGATTGGCGTATATACAACTTAAAATGTTATTAGTATAGAAGATAGGTAGAAGATGTTGGCTGAATTCAATGCCTGTTTTTGTCTGGTTAATGTTGGGGTCTGGGGCAGTTTTTAGATTGCCAGGATCCATTTACAAAATAGGTGGCAAGTTTTCAATGTCTCCTTTGCAACACAACATTGTATAAAATAAACTTCTTTTAAAAAAGTAGGAACTTTTAAAAAAAAAGATACTGAAATGCGTAAAAGAGGGAACGAATTAGATAGCTGTGGTTGATATAGTATTAGGATATATAGCCTTTTGTACAACTCGTTCTGACCTATTCAAAATGTAAAGTATCGGTTGCAAGCTGAACTCAGTGAATGTTTTCATTTGATTTTATCCATCTGAAAAACAGAAGTGTGTGAAATTGTCTGGGTTGTAAATTCATTTAGTATGCATTTGAGTTATGAAATTTGCTAATGTAACTGAACAAAGCATTGTTATTTTGTGCGTATAAAGCATTTGTTTGCATAAATAAGGGGTGGAGATGAGCCATTGAATGTTGTCCTTTTGATAGTTCAGAAAAAGTAGTAATTATTATAGAAATGCAAGGAGTATTTACGTATATACACACACGCAAAGTGAAAATTCTTCATTAAATTGTTTTGCAGCCCAGAGGAAGTCCAGGAAATTGCTTCACAGATGATTGGAAAAAAATTATTTACCAAACAAACTGGAAAAAAAGGGAGGATGTGTAACCAGGTGTTTATCTGTGAGCGCAGATATCCTAGAAGAGAATACTATTTTGCTATCACCATGGACAGATCACATCAAGTAAGCAAATATTTCCTGCCTTTATATGTAATCATATTTTGTTTTGACTAAAAGTTTTTTTTAAAACGTATGAGAGCCTGACAATTTGTGTTGCTTTGTTTAATGAACCCAGTAGTGAATTGCAAAATTCCAACTTTGTTGCAAATATTACAATGGTTTTTAATTGATATAATATTTAAATAAATGAACAGTTCTTGGAGTGTATTAGGGTGGGAAAAAGTCTAGAAAACCAAGCATATGAGATCAGTAATTACAACGGATACCTTGATTGTTCCAATAGTTTCAAATTAGAATTTGACTGGAATTTTATAAGGGTTATAATTTTAAATGTGGGGGTCGTAGCCGAGGAGGGGGTCTGGGGGTGGGGTGAATTATTGAAAGCCTGCCAATTTGGAATGGATAGATCGAGGGGCATGAAGCAGGCTGATGTTTGCTGAATCAGTGGGGTTGAAGGAGGTTACAGAGGTAGGGTAGGATGAGACTCTGGCGAGATTTGAAGGCAAGAATGAGAATTTAGCATTTGATCCTTCTGGGGAATGGGGAACCAATGGAGCCTAGCAGGGATGGAGGGGGTTAGGCTCACAGAGCCTGGTACAGGACTGGCTGCAGCTGCAGAGTAAATTAAATCTTAAAGCAAAGTTCACAATATAAACCAGCTGTTGTATAGACATTTCTGTTTGCCTTAAACATGCCCTCCATAACCCTGAACTTATGACGTTTGTATCGGTGCCTTTGCATGCCTGAAAATATTGTTCCAGGTTTGCTTTGGCTATTTGTAAAGCATGTTATTAATTCTCCGTGCAGACCCCCTGTGACACATGTCTTGTCGAAGTTAGAGTAAAATGGTTTTCCAAAACATTTTACTCCCTCAAGAACTGAACATTGCTTTGCTTTCCTTTGTGCAATTGTATTGCGACCTTTTCTTGGATCCCATTATTCTGCAGGGACCAAAATTGTATGTAATAATTTTAGCTGCAACCTAACCAGACATAAGGGAGTAACGTGATTGAGAAATGTTTTTGAATGTTGTGTGTTCATTAACATTTTTCTCCAAGGGTCCTGTTCTTATTGGTAGCAGTCAAGGAGGAGTTAACATTGAAGATGTGGCAGCAGATAACCCAGATGCTATTATCAAAGAACCAGTTGACATTATGGAGGGAATTAAAAAGGAACAGGCAATCAAGGTACTATTGCATATGTTTTACCGAGTAAATTGTTAGCATTTTTTCTTTATTAAATCAACAGATTTTGGCCATAATTTTCAAGCTCATCATCATATATATATATATACCACAAAATATACAGTTAATTCACTTTACAGTATATATTAAATAATAATAAATTAGTCAATTCAATCCACGACTGTTTGTGGGACATTGCTGTGTGCAATTTGGCTGCTGCATTTCGCCTACAAACATACAGTCAATTCACTTTGCAGTATATTCTGTGAAGCGCTTTGAGACATCTAGAAGACATGAAAAGCACTATATCAAATGCAAGAATTATTATTATCTTCGAGATATTTCCACAGTAACACTACCCTCAATTATAGGATAGAGCTATATATGATGGATTTTCATGTATATTAATGTCCAAGAAATGTGAAGTCAGGATCAAATATCTTTGAAATAATATTGGGTATTAGGAGAATTTGCTTTGTATTTCTCAACTGTGGTCTAATATAATGTTGATTTGAACTGGATTCTTTAATTCGGAATTGAGCAGCAATTCCTTCCAGTAACAAGAAGTATGACATGCTGATTCAGTTCTGAGAGTAGATGGGGGTCCGTGGAGGTAACTTTCAGTCAGTGACGTACTTCTGTTTTTCTCTATTTAAAAAAAACTTTGTGTTAGACCCCACTATTGCTTGAAAACATTTTAAAATATGTCACTAGGTAATTAACATTGAAATTAAGCACAGACTTTCACAGAAATTACATCATCCACAATCATGGCAATGGCATTGATGAAAGGTGCTTCTGGCAGGAGTAATACATTTTGCAGAGCGGTTATGTTTTTTCAAATGTTCCAAACTTTATGGTTTAAACATAGAGAATTGTATTGTATTGCGACCTTTTCTTGCATAATTACTAGTCTGGGGTAACATTTTCAGCGTGATTATGACTTTCGTATTCAATTATATACACGTGTGTTAAGGTTGCCCAAAAGATGGATTTCCCAGCTGTCCTGATAGAGGATGCTGCTAACGTTGTTATGCGGCTGTATGAAATCTTCATGAAATACGATGCCACCCTGATTGAGATAAACCCTATGGTGGAGGATTCGGCAGGAGTAGGTAAAGTAACTTTTAATATTTTGAACCGGGGGTGTGGGTGGGAATTACTGCTTAATATCTGGTATTTTAAATTCCACGATTTTCTTTTCAGTAATGTGCATGGACGCAAAGATAACATTTGATTCCAATGCTGCATTCCGTCAAAAGAAAGTATTTGACTTGCAAGACTGGAGCCAAGAAGATGAAAGGGACAGAGAGGCAGCAAGAGCAGACCTTAACTACATTGGATTAGATGGCAACATCGGCTGTTTGGGTAGGAACATTTGGGGGAGAAGTAGCTTTGCTATTTGCTGTAACCTCTTTATCATCGAGGTTGTCGTAGCTTGATTTTTATTTCTACAAGAACTAACAGATGTCTGGGAACACAGAACATTCGCGGTCTCCTGGTATATTAACCCCCTAACTTACAAAACTATTATTAAATTGTATCCTCACCCACTACCATCCTGCCCGCTCCCTCCACTCAGTGGGCTTTCGCCTGCTTCACGTCCCCCACCAAGCCAAGCCCACCATTGGCTGGCAGGCCTTCTGCCACTCTGCTCCCACTCTCTGGAACTCCATCCCGCAGTCCCTCTGCCTCACCCCCTCCCTTGCCTCCTTCAACAACAAGATTACAGTTGTATAGCGCCTTTCACGTCAGGAGGACGTTCCAAGGCACTGGACAGAGTACAGCATTTCAGACCTGAGCTGGGGTTTGGGGGGCGGAGGTGCGGGGAGGGCAGGAGGGGAAGGGGGGTGACCGATGGCAGGGTTGAAGAGGAGGGTCTTGAGGCGGGACTTGAAGGAGGCTAAGGTGGGGGCGAGGCGGAGTGACTGGGGATGGAATTCCAAAGGTTGGGGTAGAGTGGCTGAAGGCTCTCCTGCCAATGGTGGGCGGGTGGGTCGGGGTACATGGAGCAGGTCAGAGCCGGCTGAGCGGAGGTAACGGGTGGGTTGGTAGGGGGTTAGGAGGTCGCAGAGGTAGAGTGGGGCGAGGCCATGGAGAGCTTTGTATGTGAGGACCAGGATCTTGAACTGGATCCTCTGAAGGATAGGGAGCCAGTGGAGTTGGGCGAGAATGAGGGAGATGGGGTCACGGAGTTTGGTGCGGGAGAGGACACGGGCTGCAGAGTTCTGGATTATCTGCAGCCTGTGGAGGGAGGAGTTGGGAAGGCCGACAAGCACGGAGTTTGCATAGTTGAGCCTGGAGGTGATGAAGGCATGAACAAGAGTTTCAGCGGCCTGAGGAGTGAGGTAGTGGCGGAGTCGGGTGATGCTACGGAGGTGAGGGACCCATCTCAAGATCCTCCACTTCAACCGTGCTTTCAATCGCCCTGCTTTCCCCCCCTGCCCTCCACCCTCCCAATCCCGACCCTCAGCTCAAGTCCGAAACTCTTAACTGTCCAACGCCTTGGGACGTCCTCCTGTCGTGAAAGGCACTATACAAATGTAATTTTGTTGTGTATGTGTACTGTACTTTTACTGCAGATTTTCTTTGGCTAAATTCCCTCCCCTTTTCTGTACGTCAGGATAATTCATTCTCTTAATTCTTAACACTTACTCTGTCCACCTTGTGTCTATCTATCTGTGATTGTTAATTCTAGTGTCTTTTTTTAAATGGTTTAAATATAATCTATTCTAAATATAGTGAATGGTGCAGGGTTGGCTATGGCAACCATGGATATTATAAAACTCCATGGGGGTACTCCAGCGAATTTTTTGGATGTTGGTGGTGGAGCAACAGCCCAGCAAGTCACAGAGGCCTTCAAACTTATAACTTCTGACAACAAAGTAAGTATAAAGGTCAGGATTAAATATGATGAAATATTTTGGTAGTAAAATTGGTAGCAGTTTTACTTTTTTTCTCTCCTTTTTACCCCATCCTCTCCTGAAGGCACTGATTCATATATAGGAGTACAGTTTCATAGATACTAGCACCTCAACTGTGCCTTGCATGCGTAATGATTGTTGAAGTGTGAGCCTAGGCAGTGAATATTGGCAGGCTCTTCCACCAGAAGAAAGGTATCAGATCCAAGATTTGTCCCATCCTAACCAGATATTCACATCTACATATATGGACAATTTCTAACGGGCATCACTGAAGTATGAACATGAATTGTTGAAGCCAAATTAGAGATATTGAAGCCAAATTGTGAGGCAATGAATCTTTACATTTCACAAATATTATCATTAAAGCATTTAAATAACTGGTGTACTGGAAACAAAACCACATACGTGAATTAATTCTAAGATAATGGTAACCTTAATTAAGAAACTACCTTTAGGAAAGAACTATTCAGAGAAGGAAAAAATAAAAATTGTTGAATACAGGAGTGATCAGGAAAATGATAGAAAGTGATACATAGCAAAATGGTAAAAGTCTGGATAATTAAAATTAAAATAAACTATCAAACTATATTTGGAATTAAATTAATATGAAAACTGGGGTCCTTCAGGGATATTGTGATTGCTTTGAAAGATGCCTTTAATTGAGCCCAGATACAGGTTCTCTTTTAATTTATTTCTACCTCTGTGCTCATCAAACTAATAAGGACTTTTGAAAAGAATAGAATTATTCCAATGTGAATACCATGGCCTCTAGATTGACTGAATTTCAAGAATATTAAAGTGGTTGGACTATAGAGTATGACTTTTATGCCTGAACCTAGCTGCAGGACTGAAAAAGGTCCCAACAAAGAGACTTGCCAATATTGTGCTATTTTGCCCTCAGGTCATAATTATTATTCTCTGCTAATACTGAAACTTATTGGCACAATCCCAGGCTTGGTAATCAAATGTGAACAAGCAAAATGAAATGTTTTTTTTCTGCTTCTTATGATGAGGGATGTTGTTGCTAGGGAATTAAATGCCTTTTTCCTACCTCAGCCATGCATTTTAATATTCAACATTTGCACGTTGAGTATAGAACCAGTGGTTTTCAGAATAATTATTTCATTCTCCATTGGATTTGAACTCTGGCCCCAGTGAGGATGAACAACAACTGCAAGACAATAAAATTACACCAAGTTGCATTTCCATAGCGCCCTTCACATAGGATAACGCCTGGATGTCTATACGGTGGTGGGATTTGGGCTAAGCCACCACCACCCACCCCGTCCCTCCCACACTCCGACTCCTACCCATCCTCCCCTACACACCTTCGTACCCGTTTCCCCACCCTCTGTCACTGAACTCATCCTATCCCTAAAACCAACCACCTGCTCCCTTGACCCCATCCCCACTCCACTCCTTATCTCCCAGCTCCACTTTCTTGCCCCACATATCACTGACATCATCAACCTGTCCCTCTCCTCTGGCTCTGTCCCCATTCCATTAAAAACTGCCACCATCACGCCCACCCTGAAAAAACCCTCCCTTGATGCGTCGCAGCTATCAAGCTACCGGCCCATCTCCAACCTCCCCTTTCTCTCCAAGGTCTTGGAAAGAGTTGTCGCCTCCCAACTGCGCTCTTTCCTTTCCACCCATTCTCTTTTCGAACCCCTTCAGTCAGGTTTCCGTGCTGCCCATAGCACAGAAACTGCCCTGGTCAAGGTCACCAATGATATCCTGACCATCTGTGACCAGGGCTCCCTCTGTCTCCTCGTCCTCCTCGACCTATCGGCAGCATTCGATACGGTCGACCACGCTATCCTACTCCACCGCTTGTCCTCCCACCTCAACCTTCAAGGCACTGTCCTTGAATGGTTTAGGTCGTACCTTTCTCACCGTCTTCACTTTGTCTCGACGAATGGCTTCTCCTCCACCCCCCGTACTGTCTCATGTGGTGTCCCTCAGGGCTCTGTCCTCGGTCCCCTCCTCTTCACCCTCTATATGCTCCCCCTTGGTGACATCATCCGCAGACATGGAGTTAACTTCCACATGTATGCGGATGACACCCAACTCTACCTTTCCTCCTCTACTCTCAACTCCACGACCACCGATGTCCTGACAGCCTGCCTGTCCGACATCGAGTCCTGGACGAGAGACAACTTTCTTCAGCTCAACGTGCGAAAAACCGAGGCCCTCCTGATTGGCTCACGTCAGCGCCTCCGCACCTCAGGCGCTGACACCATCAGCATCCAAGGCTGCACTCTCCACCTCTCAAAGCCAGTCAGGAACCTCGGCGTTTTGTTCGACCCTGAGCTGTCCTTTCTCCCTCACATCCGCACCACAACTGGCACCGCCTTCCATCACCTCCGGAACATCGCCAGACTACGGCATTACCTCACCCCTCACGCTGCTGAAACCCTGGTCCACGCCTTTGTCACCTCAAGGCTGGACTATGGGAACTCTCTCCTCGCCGGCCTTCCCGCCACCTCCCTCCACAAGCTGCAGGTCATTCAGAACTCTGCAGCTCGTGTACTGTCCCGCACCAGGCTTCGCGACCACATCACTCCCACCCTCGCTCGCCTCCACTGGCTCCCCATCCCCCAGAGGATTGATTTCAAGATCCTCATCCTCACCTACAAGGCCATTCACGGCCTTGCTCCCTCCTACCTCTCCAACCTACTATCCCCCTACCTACCTGCCCGTACCCTCCGTTCCTCTGGCTCCGGTCTGCTCCACGTCCCCCGCCCCAACCGCCCTACCATCGGTGGTCGGGCCTTCAGCCTCTCAGCCCCCAGGCTCTGGAACTCCATCCCCCAGTGCCTTCGCCGCTTCCTCCCTTTCCTCCTTCAAGGCCGGTCTCAAAACCTTTCTCTTTGACCGTGCCTTCAGCTCCCCTCTCGACTCTCTTCCCCCTCCTCGCTCCCTCCCTCCCTTCCCTCCCCTCACCCTGACCATTTCCCCCCTGCTCGGGTCATGACCCAACTGTGCAGCGCCTTGGGACGTCCTCCTGACGTGAAAGGCGCTTTATAAATGGAATCTTGTTGTTGTTGTTGTTGTTGTAAGCGAGGAGGAGGTGTGGTCAAAGCGGTAGATTTTCCACTGGGATTTAAAGAAAGCCCTCCTCAGAGGTCACAGGACATAGTGCCATTCCTCTAAAATCCAATTTTCCCCTAATATCGGAATATATGTCCCCTTGGTTGTTCATTAACTGCCCTGCTTGTCTTAGTGGGCAAGTTATCGAGGTGGCATGTTAACATGTCAGGTATGTCTTTTTTGTAAAGGAACATGGATTTTTTTAAGAGAAAGCCAAAGGATGTGGAAAAAAATGCCAATGCCTATTTGCAAAGCAAACTTCGTAGTAGAATATGGAAGTCAATATAGTCTTTGCTTGCAAATCTGTCTCTAATTTATAAATTATAGTAGCATGTGTTTTAATTGGAAGAGCCATGAGCACCTTGCCCTTTATTTGAGTATGTTTAAAACCAGCAATGATCGTGAAACATAACAGCAAATCTGAACCGCTTTTATAGTGCCAAGTATCATTAAACTTGAAAGATAATACTCATTTGCCTATAAAATACACAGTCATATATAAAATATATATAAAATACACAGTAAAATCTCCTGAAGCGCTTGGGACATTCTCCAAACACGAAAGGCACTGTATGAAATACGTAGATTATTATTACTATAGTTTTCTTCCTTCACCTACTTTCAATTAAAAATAAGGTTCTTAGAATCTATTAGTTTTTCAGATCTTGTATCTTGAAATACTGTAAAAGTTTTCGTGACAGATTTAAGGGTCTAATATGCAGTATAACTATCCAAAAGTATTTTTTACTTAAACGTTATTTAAATATTTTTTTAAAAAGTTATTGATAATTACATATTGTAGTATTTTGTATTCTTGTAAGATCGGATATATTTTATCTGTCAACTTGTAATTTTGTACAAGGGAAAAGAAGCCTTATCAAAGGATATGAATGCTCATTTAGGATGTGAATGTTCAGTTCACAGATGTATGGTTGTTGATTGGGGAAGGATAGCAATGAAAACAAAGTTTACATAGGTGATCTGTTTCGTGGAGTCTTAATCTTTACTTTGAGATTGCACAGGCTGCTCGAATAACAGCCTAGGCACACCTGCTGCAGTTGTAAACTTTAGGAATGTTGGCATGAAATAAGTGAACATAACGTTTCCTAAATGTTCGTACTTGTGTGTATGTCAGATGTGATCTTTTATTTATGTAGCATTTTGGCACTTTTTAAGTGGAAACATGATGGACTATATGAGAGAGAGAGCTTTTGAACACAGGTATGGATGTTGGACATAAAAGAGTGTATGGCATGAACCTCTGCTCCTCCCTAACTGCAACCTATTAAAACCAAATCAACCTGGCCGCTCACTCCTCTTGGTGGCACTGGCCAACGAGAGTGGTATTTAACTTTCTGTTAAGTATTCCCCCAATCTGTGGAAAAGAATACACACTTGAACACAAACTGAATTTGAAGCCTAATTGAAACCTACTATTTCAGATCTCTCTCCATTCTCAACCATTCTGGCGATGAGCCGTCACAGGAAGAAGGCCACATGTTTCTTTGCCCATGTAATGCCCATGATCGATTATGATTACTTGATTTTTATTACTCATTCATAGGTTCAGGCGATTCTGGTGAACATATTTGGTGGCATTATGCGTTGTGATATAATTGCTAAAGGAATCATTGCTGCTGTTTCAGATCTGCATCTGAAAATTCCCATTGTTGTCCGGTTACAAGGTAGGATCATTGACTGTTCATTTTTATTGTGTCCTGATTTGCAGCTAGTCATCTGTGCTAACAGGAGTTAGTAGTCAAATGAGTGGGTAGTGGGTTTCATTTCCCAGGCCCTATTCTCACAAAGCTTTGTGGATGCACAAATAATAATAATAATACTAATAAGCCTTGAATTTGATATAGCACGTTCACTATTCGGCCTTATCAAAATGCTTCACAGGGTTTACTGTAGAGTTCCGCTCTCCAATTTTAATCTTTTTAAACGGTTCTTTAGTAACATTAAAAGTAGGCCCTTACATATATAGCCCACGATGTCTAGCTTTTATAAATATTTTTATAAATTTATGTTCATTTCTCAAATTTGTTTGATTCAGGCACACGTGTTGATGATGCAAAGGCATTGATTGCTTCAAGCAGCCTGAAGATCCTTGCCTGTGATGATTTGGGAGATGCTGCTCGAATGGTAAATGCATTCACTACACTATCTGATTACACTTTAAAATATGCTGCATAGAGAAGAGAATAAACATTCATCTTTATGAAGAGGCTTAGGGGAACTTAGTTTTACTGCATAATGTATTCGCACAAAAGGTCAGTGGGTTTTTTGTAACATAGAATCATGAAGTAATTTATATTTCTATAATGTAAATTGTTCCCCTGTGTTTACAGAATAAAATGCTTGGTCTGAAGATAGAACTATTGTGCAATTGAATTGAATATTCTTGTTTTCAACCGATTTGTTTCTGCCATTTTAGTTTGTACCATATGAATTTGGTTAACATCTGTGTTTATATTCTATTATTTTCTTTCAGGTTGTAAAACTTTCAGAAATTGTTTCGCTGGCAAAAGAGGCACACATCAATGTGAACTTCCAACTGCCAATTTAACAAAAGTCTTCCAACAATTACAAAACAGCTAATTTATTTTTCACGTACTTTTGTTTCTTCACGTAGTTTCTGAATAAAAGAAGCATGTTTAACAGCTCAGATATTACTTGAAACGTTTGTTATGAAGAAAAAGTACACTGAAGGAAACAACTGTCCTTATTCATGACCAGCATAGACTAAATATAATAATGTTGCAGAATAATAGGAATATTTTAAAAAATGCATTTTGTAAAGCATATATTAATGCAGGATGCCATGAACTCTTCGCTTATCACTAAAATAACTGGATTTTAAAAGAAGTATCAAATTACACATTCAGTATAAGAATATAGTCTAATTCTGTTCTCATAACAGTTAAAAACAGATTAGTATTATTTAAGGAAAGACAAGAAAAGTAGCATAGGATATTTGACTTTTAAATACTATTTTTTAGAAATTCAATTATATTAAGAATTTACATTTTATTCAAAAATTTTAACAGTAAAAATTAGGTTCATTGCCATGAGATGTGAATAAGAGGGTTTCACCATTCAAATAACTCCTTACCCCACAAAACCTCCTTTGCTCCATACTGCCCTGGTTATGTGCCCAGCAAACACTGGCCTCCATCACTTTCCTCCGCCCACCGCCATTGGGCAAGTCTTCAGTTGCTCAGCCCTTGCTCTTTGGAATTCCATCCAAAAGTTCCTTCTCTACCCCTTGTCGCTTTGTGCTTTCCTTTCCCTTCTCAGCTTTCTCTTAATAATCGTACATTTGATGTAGCACCTTTCACATCGGATAGTCATCCCAAACACTTTGCAGGATATACTGTAAAGTTTTAAGTGTTCTGGGACGCTACCCTATATGAGGGGCACTATATAAGTGAAAGTTGTTGTTGTATTTTGTGGGCTTCTATTATGGCCATTGTTTTACCCAAATGATTTTCTGGTAAGTCATGCTGTTTTGAAAACTACCTTTCCATTTCAAGTTTTATCTTAGATTTATAGTTAATGTGCACAGCAAAGCAAAAGCTTGTAGTAGTATATGTTCTCGTATCTGTATGAATTTTGGGTGTAAATTGCTTGAATCATGTTGTAATTAAGTTTGAATGCACTTATAACTAGTGCCTACACTTAACAGTAAGATGTAATTATTCAGAGTGAAATAAGTATTTTTTACAAATACAGAAATGAACTATATTACTTTTTAGTAAAAGCTGAAGGGTTGAGTACTTCAGTCAAATGTCACAATATAGAGTGAGATGGAGCAGATCTTACAGAATGCAAATTCAAAATTATAACCTTGAATATTGAAGAAAGTTCTTTTACCAAAGGGCAATTATATGCTTTTCAGATATGACAATGCCATCATATGATTTGTTTTCATAGCAACTGAATATTAAAAAAAACTGGACATTATGTCAAACTACAATCTTAAGAGCATAGTGAAATGAATAACATTAGTAATAATATCTAAACGTTTAATATTTACATAATCGCAACTATATATACGGTTTTTTAGTAGCACAATGGCATTAGCTGTCACAAGAACAGGACTGCTGATTTAGTTATTTTGAGTATCCATAACCACTTGTAACCTTGTATAATGTTGGCATAACATGTTAGTTAGCTACTAAGATAACATTCTACTCTGGAGTACTTTAGTATTCAAGTGAGTCACTATATTATTGCTGATGTACGTTTTTAATCTATTTTAAATCTATATTTTTCCAGTTGCAAACATTGTAAATGTTGCCTTTACATGGGGATATACTGTAATGTTACTTTTACAGATCTACTTGGATGTCTCAAATGCATTTGCTGTGCAGGTACTGTACTCGGACATAATTAAAGTGTACTATGTTGCAAGGAATAGCACAAATAAGCATCTCAACTTCGCAGACACCAAAATATACCTGTAGTATCTAGAGGAGCACAGAGACATTTCTGCACAAGTTCTGTGTTAAGACTTTAATTCTGTTGTGTCCCTGATGAACTAGATATTGTATGTGATGTGTGGAGGGTATGAGGGCATGGCTTTAATGTATTTCACTTTTTTGTGAAACACAGTAGTGTTCATACATTAGGTCCTCCTTCAAAGGTTGCTCTGTTGGTGATGTTCTTCCCCGGACTCTACTCTTCAACCGTGCCCTTGGCCATCCTGCTACCCCTACCCTCACTGTCCCAATCCCCTGCTCGTGTCCAAATCCCTTACAGTCCAGGGCCTTAGGACATCATCCCGATATGAAAGGCTCTATACAAATGTATTTGGTTGTTGTTGGTTTTGTAATAATTGGGCTGTTTTGCACCAGGAATTGGTGTTCATGTCATTTCTTTTGATAGCATAGATTTTGATCTTTTTTGTCAACATATTATTGAGAATAATACTTAGAAATACTGATGAGTCTTGAATGATTTTTTTAAAAAAAAATCAGGTTTCAAAGGTGCTGCCATTTGCCTTTAATAGAAGTCTGAATTCAGTGATGGGCTCAATATCATCTTGTTTCAACTGTGTAACCATTCCTCTGAAGGTCACTCTTTAAAGCAGTTTCCAAAATAAAATAATTTAATCTTTGTGACTCTAAGCTTTGTTTCTTTGCTATCTTGTTAAAGGAACTGCCTTATTTGTCTGCAAAAGTTCCTTGCTGGAGATAGATAGGATAGGGTGAGATTTCCCAAAATTGTTTGTTTCACTTCCAAAAATATTACTTTATGGCTTGTAAATTCTTGTTGTTGGCCTTCCTCCAGAATGTCCTTTTTAAATCACACATAGATTAGTGGAGACCCATTCTTGGCCACACTTATATCAACTGAACACCATAAAAATGGTTGTTGATGTAATAATCGTTGGAATTGTTTGTACTTTTATTATTTAATTATTACAAGATTGATGCTAAGACACTTGACTATTTATAATAAGAATCCTTGCATTTGATATAGTGCCTTATCACGTCTTCAAAAGGTCTCCAAGCCTCTTGAATTTGTTTCACAACCGAGACAGCTTATGCCTTTTCTGTGACTCACTTTTAGTTTGACATGTTCTCTTGGGAATGTGAATGATTTGAACTGTCATCTTTCATTATCGTAACACAGTTTATTTTTGTTTTATTAATATATTCATGATGAGTTCTAAAACGAAGCTTGGATTTTATCCAATACACACGTCCACAATGCTCAGTCAACTCGCTGCTTGCATTCATTAGAGAACGAGTAGGCTGAATTTGTATTCGAGGGCTGACCCATGTTGTCCTGCAGATTTGTTAGCATTCGCTGCCTTTATGTACCTTGCACAAGTGGCATTTCTTCATGTGCCACGGGAATTCACGTATTTTGGCAGGTTATCCAACTGGCTTTGTCGCAACCAATTTCCAGACATGTACCAGCAGAGGTCAGGAACTCTGGGTGATTTTACTATACCTAATCTAGGGGCACTGAGATCAGTTATAGATTTGACTTTGATGAGATCACATCAAAGAATGAACAACAACAAAATTACATTTGTAAAGTGCCTTTCACTTCGGGAGGATGTCCTAAGGCGCTGGACAGACAGAGTTTCGGACCCGAGCTGAAGGTCGGGGTGGGGAGGGGAGGGGAAACAGGGAGATTGAAAGCACGATCGAAGAGGAGGGTCTTGAGGGTGGTGAAGGAGGGGGCACGACGGAGGGACTGTGGGATGGAGTTCCTGTGGGTGGGTGCAGAGTGGCAAAAGGCCCACCCACTGATAGTGGGGCGAGCAAGGCAGCGGATGTGAAGCAAGCCGGAGCCTGCTGAGTGGAGGGAACGAACAGGATGGTAGGGGGTTAGGAGGTCGGAGAGATAGGGGGGAGCAAGGCCGTGGAGGGCTTTGAAGGTGAGGACCAGCATCTTGAACTGTATCTGTGATGGGAAGCCAGTGGAGTTGGGCAAGGATGGGGGTGATAGGGTCGCGGATCCTAGTGCGGGAGAGGACACGGGCTGCAGAGTTTTGGATGATCTGCAGCCTGTGGAGGGAGGATTTGCGGAGGCCGACAAGCAGTGAGTTTGCGTAGTCGAGGCTCGATGTAATGAAGGCGTGCATGAGGGTTTCGGCGGCCTGCAGTCTGAGACAGTGTCGGAGCCGGACGATGTTGCGGAGATGGGGGATGGCAGAGCGGGTCATGGCGCAGATGTGGGGTAGAAAAGTTAGTTGAAGGTCAAACAAGACCCCAAGGTTGCGGGTGGGCTTAACAAGGTGGAATGTGCAACAAGGGGAATTACCAGGTTTTTATTTGCATTCCTTGGAGTAGCATTACCACCTGAGGAAAACAATCAGCATATTAACTTCATTTCGTGCAGGGATTACAAATTGGGAGGATTATTGTTTCAATTTTGTTCAAAAGTCATAATTATTGAGTCTGAATGTTAATAGAAGGCTAGGTTTCCTCCCACATACTCAACCTGAAGAGTTATTTTTTCATTATACATTTTCTATGTGTCAGCTTTGCTCAATTTGTGGCACACTTCCAACTGGGTCAGAAGATTGCGGTATCACTAATAATAATTGCATTTGATATAGTGCCTTATCAAGTCTTCGAGACGTCTCAAAGAGCTTCACAGAATATACTGTAAAATGAATTGACTGTATATTTTGTGGAGGAAATGCTGGGACTTTGGGCACACATAATTGGTTGACATTTCAGTGCAGTAACTGCGATACAGTTCTTTGGATGAGACATTAAACTGAGGTGACACCAGCCTGCATTCAGCTGGATGTTTTAAAAATCCATAGCTAGCAAGAGTTCTTTCTGGTGTCCCAGGCAAGAATTGCCTGCATAAAGACCATTCATTTCAAGGATGTTTGTGGGATATTGCTACTTGTAAATTATCTGCTACATCAGCCTAGAACACAGTCTCTGCACGGTAGCAAGGTTGGACTACGGGAACTCTCTCTTCGCCGGCCTTCCCGGTACCTCCCTCCACAAGCTGCAGGTCATTCAGAACTCTGCAGCTCGTGTACTGTCCCGCACCAGGCTTCGCGACCACATCACTCCCACCCTCGCTCGCCTCCACTGGCTCCCCATCCCCCAGAGGATCGAATTCAAGATCCTCATCCTCACCTACAAGGCCATTCACGGCCTTGCTCCCCCTTACCTCTCCGATC